CCACATTACCCACAGAGTGCTGATGGTCTGTAAAAATATGGGACGCTCGGCCCATATGCCCGATGCGCCGAAAGGCGTGAAAAGGGAACTTTACTTTTTGACTTTTTTACCAGGGTCTTCTGACTGGTTATCTACTTCTCAAATAATTACTACTAGCAGGGTCTTCTGACTGGTTACCTACCTAACCAAATAATTACTACTATCAGGGTCTTCTGACTGGTTATCTACTTCTCAAATAATTACTACTATAAGCGTCTTCTGACTGGTTATCTACCTAACCAAAAAATTACTAATACCAGGGTCTTCTAACTGGTTATCTACCTCTCAAATAATTACTACTATAAGGGTCTTCTGACTGGTTATCTACCTAACTAAATAATTACTAATACCAGGGTCTTCTAACTGGTTATCTACCTCCCTAATTACTACTATTAGGGCTTTCTGACTGGTTATCTACCTCACAAATAATTACTACTAAGTACTAAATGCCTTGTGTTGGTTTGGACAGTGGTATCGAGAAGCCGACCGTCCAGAAAGCAATGGCAAACTATTGGACGTAAATTTGCCTAGAAAACCAGAACAGCCAAAAATAGCTGGGGTTGGTTCTGCAACGTCCTGTAAAGGATATGCAACTAACTAACTAACTTAATTTATTGTCTCAAATTATGCCAGCAGTTGATTTTCACATTCAACACTTATCATGACTCTAGAATTCATTTTCACTTAAATCTTGCCATTTTATTGTACAACAACTTCAAACACATTTTTCACTTCAGGCTCTGCATGCATTATTTAGCCAACTTACTGTAAGGTAACATAACATCTATTGGCGAACACTGGAGGCAATGAACAAGTCAAAAATATATTTGCAAGAAACTAGTGCTTATAACTGACATGCAGCATTTCTGTTTTTACAAAGTATACAAAAGGAAATCACTCAAAACATTTATACTATAAAGGCAAATTACTCAAACATACGTGCATACATATTATAATTGGAATAATAATTTTCAATACAAAAATATATTATAAGAAATTTATATATATAAATTTAATATTTCACAAAAGCTTGGATAAAACAGCACACTGTATTTATTGTCAGAAAGATTACTTTATGACCTGGCAGCTGATTTTGACAATGGTATGGGAGCCCGACCATTCAGAAACAATACAAAAACTCATCATCATCAAGTAGCAGGTCCTTTGCAGAACGTTGCTCTCATCACGGTCAGCCTGAAAAAAACTCAGTCTCTCGCCAGCTCTCCCACCTTTCATACTCAAGGAGTAATTTATATCCTATGCCCATCTTCGTGTTGGTCAACCCCTGCCCCTCCTTCAGGTACCATGCCTTCTGCTGTTTATTAGCCAATCTTCCTTGATGTTCAGATCGTTCAAGATGTCAGTATTTCTTCTCTTCTTTGTCCAAGATATTCTGAGAATCTTTCTATAGCATTTCAGCTCAAAAGCTACTCAATGTAATATTGCCTAGTAAAACCATAAGCAGCAGCAAATGATGGGATTGTTTGCTACTTAAAGTGGCTTTTTTACTATCATTTAAGATACCCATGCTGTATCCCAGAGGCATTATAATATTGGAGATTGTTTAATGTAATACAAGTAATAGTAACTCCTGAGGTAACACTGAATATAGGTTAATCCTGATCACACTGAATATAGGACACACTGTAATAAACCTATAAGAATGGAAAGAGGTGTCAAAGACAGATCGAGAGTACTGCAAAGAGAGATTAAACATCGCTGCAAAGAGAGATTAAAAACTACTGCAAAGAGAGACTAAACACTACTGCAAAGAGAGACTAAACACTACTGCAAAGAGAGATTAAACACTACTGCAAAGAGAGATTAAACACTACTGCAAAGAGAGATTAAACACTACTGCAAAGAGAGATTAAACACTACTGCAAAGAGAGATTAAACACTACTGCAAAGAGAGATTAAACACTACTGCAAAGAGAGACTAAACACTACTGCAAAGAGAGACTAAACACTACTGCAAAGAGAGACTAAACACTACTGCAAAGGGAGATTAAACACTACTGCAAAGAGAGATTAAACACAACTGCAAAGAGAGATTAAACACAACTGCAAAGAGAGATTAAACACTACTGCAAAGAATGATTAAACACTACTGCAAAGAGAGATTAAACACTGCTGCAAAGAGAGATTAAACACTACTGCAAAGAGAGATTAAACACTACTGCAAAAAGAGATTAACCACTACTGCAAAGAGAGATTAAACACTACTGCAAAGAGAGATTAAACACAAATGCAAATAGAGATAAAACACTACTGCGAAGGAAGATTAAACACTACTGCAAAGAGAGATTAAACACTACTTTAAAGAAAGATTAACCATCTATATATATAAAAATCAATGTTTGTGTGTTTGTTTGGTCTCTATAGACTCGGAAACTACTGAACCGATTTAGCTGAAATTTCAGGATATGTTTGTTGTGATACCCGATTTTGAACCGTCGTGGTTTGAAATTCAACCTGTCACTGTTAGAGATAGGTGACCACAATTTATGCCAAAATATACGCAACTAACATCTATAACTTTAGTGATTTCTAATTATAGCCACGTTAGTAATTGCGCATGCGCCGTAGTTACCATTCGCCGGCGAGTTACGTGCAGCCAACGCCTTCTCTAATACTAATACATAGAGTAGGTCGTGGTACAGCAAACAAGACTATCTCTATATTTGCCACAATAACCATATTAAACACGATTTCTATTTTCTGTTTTTTTTTTCCAAACAACCTTCGATGGGGGGGGGGGGGGGGGGGGGGGCGCAATCAAGGACTATCTCGACGTCGGCGCAGACAGTGACTGCGACATTAACTTCATTAACCGTGTTAGACACGTGCGATTTCTATTTCATTAATATATCTGGAGTATCTGTCTACGAGAAAACAATTGCCTGCGGTTTTGAATTGTGTTTTAATCGCGACACAGTGGTAGGGACACATATGTCTAATAGTTGCGTTCTCTTTTCGTTGTTCCGATTAAGTGGCTGCTTGGTCGAATGGTTAGAACACTGGGTTCAAGTGCGGTAGACCTGGGTTCGAATCCGCAGTATTTTTTTTTTTCCCCGGACTAAAATAATATCCTCATCTGCTCTGTTGTGGTGACAGCACTAGCCATGTTGCCTTAATATTTAAAAAAAAAAAAAAAAAAAAAAAAACAAGTAAATGGGTAAACCATTTGATAATTAAATTTGACCATTTCGCATACTTATGATTGCATTGTTAAACTTTCCGATTGCATGGTTACGCTGAAATTTTATAGATATTCATTTATTTTCATTTAGATTTAGTTATTTTATCTGTGTTGGAATTTTAAGCTGTGCTGTTTACAATGGCGTTCATTTCCTAATTATGGTGTTTTTTTCCTGTGTTTATTTGCTTTTCAAGTGTTGTTTTTTTTTTCTCCCAACTACTTCAATGTGGGAAAGAGTTGTCGGTGAATTTGGGGGGAGGGGGGGCAAACTATTAACTGAGAGAGCTTCAAGTCACAGTAACTGCTTTACCCACTTAAAGTAGCAGCAGCAGTAATAGTTGTGGTTGGGCTGTTACACCATAGTGCTCTCATGTGAAGACCGCCGGTAAGGTTATGGCGTTCTTCTGTCGGCAAGTGAAATTATACATCCTAACCTGACCAGTCTGTGGCGACAGCACTAGCCATGCGGAACCAAATCTTCTGGCTCACGACTCTCTGTCTACTCCGATGGTAACACAGATAGCAGTGACATTATTTTAGTAGTTGTACTGGTACTTGAAGGATGATGTGGTAAATATTTCGCTAGCCCTATTCACTACCTTTTACAATTCCTGCTCCTTATTTTAGTCCAGATGGACAGGGATGTCAATGTCAGTTACAGCAACAACAAAATATCGCCAGTAAGTGATTTTCAAATCCTTCGAAGAGGGGAGAGCAGTAGTCGGTGGAAGAGGGGAGGGGAGGGGGGTAATGACTTAAATTTAAGAGAACTTAAAGAGCTTTACACGTGATTTTCAAGTTCTCATTACCTAATTTGTTTATATTTTACTAACGCTACCTCCGCTTTTCTATTTTTTACGACTTACTTTGTTATTTACAAGTACAGTTGTAGCTTTACTTCCGTCTCCTATAAAAATACAAACAGCTTTAGCATGTGATAACCAAATAACCACTTTTGTTACCGTGCTAATAACACCATTTAAACGACCACTAATATAAAGACACAATTATATGGTGCGTGTTCTAATCAAGGACTATCTCGACGTCGGCGCAGACATTGACTGCGTCATTAACTTCATTAGACAGGTGCGATTTCCATTGTCTTTCTTTTCTAAAAACCTTTGATGAGGGAGAGGGTACTAGGTGGATTTAGTTGTGGGGGGTGGGGGGGGGGATCAAAGACTATCTCAAATTACGCCACAGCAACGCGTGGCCGGGTACAGCTAGTTACATCATAAAAACAACAATTGCTGTGAATTTTTTCAAAAGCAAAAAACAAATAATTTATGGTGTTTCATGAATAAGCTTCAATATACTCATTGATTGGGGTCACAATGCAAATAGCACAACAGCAATATAAAATGTACCAAATTTGAAGTGGCCAAACTCAACCATGGAAAAGTTTTTAATTTATTTATAATTTTTCAGTAGATAGGACAACTTGGCATGAGTTTATTGAGGGCCTATACTCCACTCAGGAATGAAGGGCAGACAAAGAAGAAAAGTCATAAACCCTATATATCCCAGTTATAGTCCAGAGGGGTTGAACAAGATATTTGTGATTTAAATAACTATATGAGATTGTTCTTAACTTAAGCAACATTTACTTGTTTAATAGTGACTGCATGATCCAACTATAGCATCATATGTTAAAAACAAAAACCTAAGAAGAAGAAGATTATGGAAATTTTAAATTCTAAAAATAGAAGCATAGAAACATATTTACTTTAGAGCCAAAAGAGCTTTATATAAAATGTTGCTATGGTGTCGACTTCTGACTGCGAGGAATGGGAACATAAAGCACACCTCCGGAACTAGGGCAGTCCACAAAGTAGCTTTTCTTTTCACTTTTAAAGTAGAGAGGCAACTCTGGTTTTTCTGGGTATTTCACTCTCAAGGTATTTTCTTTAGTCGGTGGACTTGCTTCAGGACAGTCAATTAAATTAAATGTCTTGTCATAGCATAGCCAGATTTCTTCCAGATAATAGGTATCATTCTGCAACAATTGAAATAAAAATCACATGAGAAATAAGAGAAAATGTTACACTACTTTTTAGTCCCTACCAGTAATAAACTATAATTGTTTTTTTTTTAATGCTCAAAAAATTTAACTTTAAAGACGCCTCCTCCTTGGACAGAAAACAATTAAGTTTATTACTTGTCGGAGTTGAACTGTTAGGATAGCTGTGTTGGTTGGGGGCGCCATTATGGGGAAAGCAAGAATAGGTCCACTGCCTCCCTAACAAACATGTTTTAAGAGTTGACTAATTAGGACTTTCCTTAGAAGTTGTAGTGCATCTGCCTGACGGGCAAGGAACAAGTAATCTGCAAACAAATAAGACAGATCTGTGAAACAGATGTGCATGCAACAGTCAAGTTCTGGAACAAGAATAAAGTCCAGAGGTGGCAAATAACAAAAACCTTCCACCAGAGTTAACAGTTTGTGAATACAAAGAAAGAAGAAGAAGAACTTTAAAGAAATCCATGTGTAGGTTTGGATGAAGTTACAATATCAACAGTGTTGGACAGAATTAACTAAACTAAAGAATCATAAACAATGAGTTTCTTGAACAAACATCATTTACAGACCAAAGTGAAACAAGTTGGTTTTATTTGGACTAAGAAACGACTGTGTGATGAGCTGCTTATACAGAAAAAGTTTCCACGGTGAAGTGGTCAAGGCTTTGCCTCATGCTCTGGAGGTAGAGGGTTCATTTCAAGACTACGATATTTGGTTCATGAGTGCACTTTTTTGCAAACACCCCTGGGGATTGTCACTGGAGTTAACAGAGATTGTGCTTTGTGCAGTGCTCTTGGCAGCTGGCTAGTGATTCTGTGGAGACAGACCCAGCTTTATGAGATAATATGCGGCACAATAATGTCAGTCCTCCAACTGAGACTTAATTTTAGAAAGAGTTTGTCAGTTTGAGGTTTTCACACTGTGATGCAACCTGAAAATTTGACCACCCCTGTAACATCATGTGGCACATCCTAGATGGCAAACCAACAGGGAAAGTCTCAGATACCCTGTTTAATCTTCAGAGAAGTTATAATTGGGGCACCAGTAGCAGCAATACCAAGTACCACCCCAGTTATAACTGGGGCACTAGTTGCAGCCTTACCAAGCACTTTTCCAATTATAAGTGGGGCACTAATTGCAGCCATGCCAAGTACTTCATCAATTTTAACTGAGGCACCAGTAGCAGCCATACCAAGTACTACATCAGTTATAACTGGGGCACAAGTAACAGCCATACCACGTACTACTCCAGTTATAACTGGGGCACAAGTAACAGCCATACCACATAATTCATCAATTATAACCGGGGCACTAGTAACAGCCATACCAAGTACTACCCCAGTTATAATTGGGGCACCAGTAGCAGCCATACCAAGTACTACTCCAGTTATAATTAGGGCACCAGTAGCAGCCATACCACGTACTACTCCAGTTATAAATGGGGCACAAGTAACAGCCATACCACATACTTCATCAATTATAACCGGGGCACTAGTAACAGCCATACCAAGTACTACCCCAGTTATAATTGGGGCACCAGTAGCAGCCATACCAAGTACTACTCCAGTTATAATTAGGGCACCAGTAGCAGCCATACCAAGTACTACCCCAGTTAAAAACTGGTGCACCGGTAGCAGCCATATCAAGTATTACCCCAGTTTGGGGCACCAGTAGCTTCCATACCAAGTACTACCCCGGTTAAAACTGGGGCACCAGTAGCAGCCATACCTTGTACTACCCCATTTATAACTGGAGCACCAGTAGCAGCCAAATCAACTACTACCCCAGTTACAATTGGGGCACCAGTAGCAGCCATACCAAGTACTACCCCAGTGTACCCCACTGTTAAGTGTAGGTAATGATGTTCACACAAAAAGTTGGCATATACAGGATTGCAAAGTCCCTATGGTAATTACTAATGGGTAGAAGATATCTAGGTTGGCCTCTACTACGATAGAGATTATGTTTATTGGACATGAACAATACTGGTACTGAGGTGGATTTATGGGAACAAATGCAAAGGACTGTGTTATATGGAAGGGAAAGGGGAAAATGATTGCCTATAGGTTCATAAGTGAGCATCTAAGAAGGAGCACATTAAATACAAGCAACCGCAACAATCGTCCTGAAATCCAATGCTATAACTGCCAAATACATTTTTTCACACAATCTGGTCTTGCCAGTCATACTTGCTTTTACCAGGGCTGTGACTCCCATGTTTTTCTATAGACAATATAACACTATCATCTGGAAAGACTGGAAGTGCCCACAACATAACAGATGAAAGGCATTATAACAGGATACATGGCTACGACTGCTGCCTCTCTCTAATGATGACTGCAACTTTCCCAATTTTTGTTGTTGTTGCTCTGAGACTACCTGTCTTGTATTATTATTTGACTTTATTTCTTGGATCTTATTTCTATTTGTTTTTCTTATTTTGTAGGCTCTTTACTTCGTCCTGGGTTTCTATTTTGAGCATTCACTGCTATTGTAGCTTACCTTATATATGTGATTTCTTTAATGTTGCTTTCTTTTATAAGCTGCCTTACTGTCTGTGTGTGACACATATCTACTGTAGGCTATTTTTTTTCCAGTAATTTTTAGGACTTTTTTCTATTGTTAACCGCTTTCTTTTTTTGATTTCTTAACTTATGTTTTATGTTTCCTTTATGAAACCTTTAGCCTTAGGCATACTGCCTTCCTTATATGCTTTCTTTTGCTGTAACTTCACTATAGGTTGTCTTGTTTTTTATTAACTATTCCAACTTAATGTCTGTGGCAAGTTTGTATTTCCATGTGATTTCTTGATTCTGTTTTTATTCATATTCTGGTGACTTCTTCAATGTACTATTGAACTGCATGATGCAAAGGCATCCCAGAATTTCCAAAGCACATTTGTAAAACAGCAGAAGACAGATAAGCAAGAAAAATGCCCTTCATTCAATGGCCTTACTTTTTAATATGTATACTGGTCAAGTTTTCCTATCTTGTTCTTAAAAACACTTGTTTAAGATGAGGGAAAGCCTTTCAAAGTTAAGACCAATATTTGTTTCTGGAAGTGGTTACAATAAAATTATTGAAATCAAGTAAAAGTGACAGAAATACTTACCATATGCAAACACTTGATTTGAGGCACTTTACTGTATTTGCCAGAAACAGCTAGAAAAATATCTGTCAGCTGTTAAATTTTGGAGAAACAAAGATACAACAAAATGAAGATATAATACATTTGAATAGACCACAAAAACAGGCCATAAACAAGTAATTAAAAGGTGATAGATTTTCTTAAGACAGATGAGTTCTTGCATTAAACTTTGCCATTTTTAGACGAATACAAAATCTTCCACCACACACATTAAAGAGATAAATCAATCTGTATGGGCATGTAGTTTGAACGCAGCAAACTCCAGATTCCAGTGCTGGCACACCTAATAAAATCTGTAACCAGAGCAAGAAGATCCCCAGGATGGATTGATGTCATTTACAACATTGTGTATTCAATGGAACAACAACAGCCAGTGATGCTCATCTGTTTGACTACAAAATACAGATTCCCTCAGTGTCTGATAGTAACAGTGAAAGATGATGATGAATGAGCTCAGACAAATCTGTATAACTTACTAAAACATTGTAAACAAATTTATTGACAAATGATAACTCAGATATAACGCAAAAGATTGGGTGTCCTTTTCTCTATTCTCCTGGATTTTTCCCTACAGTATTTGCAGTGTAAGACTTTCTATTTCATACTGTGACCAAGCCAGATTAGTTCACACTTTTGTTTAGTTTTCAATATTTGCATATTTTGCCCACTGCCTTCATTTTATTTAAGAGCTTTTGTCCAACTCACTCTTTGCATCCTGTGATTCAACAAATCTCACAAGTTCTTTTAATCATTTATATTTGTAAAGTTCATGTTGCACAGCTTATCAAAAATGTTAGCAGTCTCAAGAGTGTTTTTCTGAGTTTGCAACAGAAGTAGTCTCCAGCCTTGGACTCATGCTGCATATGTAACGACACAACTTTCACTAGCTAAACAAAATGGCTGGTTACTGATTGAGCAGTGGTAACATTTTGCTAGATCACAGATGAAAGGTGTTGGTTTGGATGACATGCTTTGCTTCATGGTTGACATTTTTCTTTTGGTCATTATGAAATCAGTCTCATTATTTCATTGTCAGGATGTGTTGAAAAATAATAAAAACATCTCAGGAAAATGGGGAAGGGGGGAGGGGCTGTTCCCCTTTACTCTCCCCAGTCAAAATAGGAGTTTGTGATCTCTTTTGTTTTTATAGCAATTTTCAGCTGTCAAAAAAATCTGTGCTCTCTCTTCATGGTTTATATGTCTATCTTACAGAATTATTCATTTAAAAACAACATGACACTATATTTATTCATAAATACTGCCATAACATGGATAAACATTGACAAACTGATTGTGGCAGAAAAGAAAGGTGATAAATGTTTTACTTTGGATGTATAAGCCCAAGTATGCAAACATTAAACCTACGACAAAAACAACAAGATAAATAAATAATAAGGGCTAGTTATCACAGACTGTAGACAAAGTATGCTAGAAAGAAAACCTGTTTCCAACAAATAGTATAACAAGCCTGGAGCTAAGACAAGGAACAAGAAGCATCAATTATATCCTGTATAACATCATAGAGAATACTAAGACAAGGAACAAAAAACAGCGATTATATCCTGTATAACATCACAGAGAACCTAATCTAAAAAATCTTGATTTACAAAATATGCAGTAAAAAATAAAAAGGGAATTCAGAACCGTAAGCAAAATAAATAACACTTATCTTGTAAGTACTCACATCATAGAACTTTTTCTTGCTGGGATTGATTCTTGAGCCACTGAGTACACTGAAAGTTGATTAGCAAAATGTAAGACTTACTATATACTACTTAATATTTATGAGAATACTACTCTGGGAGTGAATTTGTATTAATATTGTTGTTGGTAAACAAGACTCTAAGATTAGTACCATTGTTTCATATGCAAAAACCTATATTTACTGAAGCACACACAGTTTCAATTATTCAAGTATAAAAATTAACATTAAAAAAAATATGTACACTTATGAAAAAAATCTACATTTATTTAATAATCTATATTTTTTAAACCATTATCGTGAATATTATTTATTTTTATTTATTGATACATTCATTACTTTATGATTTGATGTGTTTCGTGTGTTTCAATGCACTAACTAAATCTGATTGGGTGACAATCTCAACTAGGGCATATAACTGAGTTAGGCTTTCTATTACAAATATCCTGACAAGTCATGCTTGGCTTTTATTAAAAACATCCTGACAAATCATGCTAGGGCTTATATTACAAACATTCTGACAAATGCTAGGGCTTATATTACAAACATTCTGACAAATGCTAGGGCTTATATTACAAACATTCTGACAAATGCTAGGGCTTATATTACAAACATTCTGACAAATGCTAGGGCTTATATTACAAACATTCTGACAAATGCTAGGGCTTATATTACAAACATTCTGACAAATGCTAGGGCTTATATTACAAACATTCTGACAAATCATGCTAGGGCTTATATTACAAACATTCTGACAAATCATGCTAGGGCTTATATTACAAACATTCTGACAAATCATGCTAGGGCTTATATTACAAACATTCTGACAAATCATGCTAGGGCTTATATTACAAACATTCTGACAAATCATGCTAGGGCTTATATTACAAACATTCTGACAAATGCTAGGGCTTAAATTACAAACATCAAGACAAATCATGCTAAGGCCTATGTTACAAACACCCTGGAAAATCGTGCTAGGGCCTATATTACAAACATCATGAAAAATCATGTTAGGGCTTATATTACAATCACCCTAACAAATCATGCTAGGACTTTTATTAGAAACATCCTAACAAATCATGCTAGGACTTTTATTAGAAACATCCTAACAAATCATGCTAGGGCTTATATTAGAAACATCCTAACAAATCATGCTAGGGCTTATATTAGAAACATCCTAACAAATCATGTGAGGGCTAATATTCAGGTTAGGCCTCACTCTAGGGAACAGCGGGAGGAAAGATGTCTTACAATGAAATATAACAAGATATTTTTTCATTTACCCAAGCAGATCTAGAGTGTTGTGAAGCTGTAGAGTTGAGTTAAAATACTTCAACTCCCCCTGAAGGACAGGCAACTCATAGGCACATGTTCCATGTTTAGTCCACTCGTGTGACCTGTGAAAATATGTGTAGCATTAAATGTTCAAGTTTGAACAATAATAAACGCTTATGGAATAAGGAAACAATACTTGAAAGACAGAAGGAACCGATAGATTAAAGAAAGAAAGAAAGAAAGAAAGAAAGAAAGAAAGAAAGAAAGAAAGAAAGAAAGAAAGAAAGAAAGAAAGAAAGAAAGAAAGAAAGAAAGAAAGAAAGAAAGACCAAAAGACAGAAAGAAAGAAAGAAAAGAAAGAAAAAGAAAGAAAGAAAGAAAGAAAGAAAGAAAAAGAAAGAAGAAAGAAAGAAAGAAAGAAAAAGAAAGAAAAGAAAGAAAGAAAAAGAGAGAGAGAGAGAGAGAGAGAGAGAGAGAGAGAGAGAGAGAGAGAGAAAGAAAGAAAGAAAGAAAGAAAGAAAGAAAGAAAGAAAGAAAGAAAGAAAGAAAGAAAGAAAGAAAGAAAGAAAGAAAGAAAGAAAGAAAGAAAGAAAGAAAGAAAGAAAGAAAGAAAGAAAGAAAGAAAGAAAGAAAGAAAGAAAGAAAGAAAGAAAGAAAGAAAGAAAGAAAGAAAGAAAGAAGAAAGAAAGAAAGAAAGAAAGAAAGAAAGAAAGAAAGAAAGAAAGAAAGAAAGAAAGAAAGAAAGAAAGAAAGAAAGAAAGAAAGAAAGAAAGAAAGAAAGAAAGAAAGAAAGAAAGAAAGAAAGAAAGAAACAGAAAATTTCTTATTCAAATTTTAAACAGACATTAGAAAACACGGAAAAATACTGCACTAAATAATGGGACTATCCAAAACAGTGATGTGGGGAAATTGTGCACCAGATTAATTGAGCAGTAGCAACTGTCCAACACTGGTAAATGTCAAAGTAAAGAACTCTTTTCCACGCCTTCAGATGTATTGGGTATATAGGGCTAGACCTATATTTTATAGATCAAAAGGCACTTGTTGGGTGATGTGGTCAGTATCAAGCCAGCCATCCTTACTTTCCAGGACTGTACCTGGTACTCACTCAAGGCTAAGCTGACCTAGGAGCCAAGGTCATTTTGTAAAAAGTCTGGCCCCCGGCAGGACTCGAACCCACAACCTTCTGATCCACAGGTGAGCATCTAGCCGCTAGACCATGGCACCTCTCTAACCACACAGGTGTTACACTTAAAAAGACATGATCTGAAAGCAAGAGGGCTCCCAAGAAGTTTGAAGTAGCAACTTTCACATAAAAAATATCCTGTTCAACCCTCAGAGTTATATCAGATACAAAATGTGCTCAATGAGTTTTAAGAGTATATTTTGGCTATTTTTAAATATCACATAATCATTTCTTTCATAGTTTAAAAGCAATTTGCATCATTACTGTTTGAAATATGGTCATGTTTACAACTTCTGAGTAGTGAGCATGACAGACACCATACAGTGAGCATTTAATCTTATTTAAATTGAGTCATAAAACAGTGTATTTATTATGTCCTTCATATAACCATTGATCATCCTCATTATTTTAGCTCTGAAGAAAATAGCTTCAAAAATGACATGGACATTTCTCTACTCTTCGTTATATGAAGAACAGTTTTATAATTTTTAACTGATGACTGTGATGATGCTTGATAATAATAGGACTAATGGCCAAGGTGTTGCTCTAGCCTCCAAAAGTTTGAATAGTTTCTGGTCCAACAGTTTACACTGTTATTAAAATAATTAAATTACATTCTGTGCCATCTTCACAGAGGAGGTTGGCTGCAGTAGATGTGTCTATTCTTGCTTTCTTTGGGAATGTTCCAGAGTGAGGTCCCTAACTCTTTAATACTGCAACTCTTGTATAACTGTCTGAATCTAGGACTCAAAAAATATAATGCAGCAAAAGTTTGTTAGCACAATCTTGCTTAACACTGTCACACAGAGAAGACTAAATCTAGTGACCTCCAGTTGTGACCCAGTGCTGTAAAATCAGCCTGTCTGCAGTGACCTGCTCTCAAAAAGCAAAGTTAAATTTCATTGGTTCTATGTGCATCTGCACAGTATTTAATAGAATATGAATATAGTTATTAAACATATCATTTTGGAAAGTTTCTTTATTACCCCAGCAGTGGCTTAATTAAAAGCAAACACTGGTGTCAAATTTCTTGCTAAGCCTCAGTGACATAATCTCATGCGGTCACAGTATGAGTCATCCGATATATATATATATATATATATATATATATATATATATATATATATATATATATATATATATATATATATATATATTGTTTAGGTCCTGGGTAGTGCACTGCATTTATTGCTTTACTGTGTTTGTGTTACCTGATTTCATTTTTTAAGGATGTATTTCCGGGAATTTCCTCAGGTTATGACCCTATTTTTGAAACATTTACGAGGTGAAAGGGTTGAAAAGAACACTCGTTAACATGTACAAAATTTCAGTCACAGGAGGAATGTATTATTGTTGTTAGCCCCGTTTAGCATAAATTCTTTTTCCCATGAACTTAGTTTTCAGAATTCATGCTAACAAGGTTTTAACTATATGGCAAAAATTTATGGTCAAATATAGTTGACACAGTCAGCATCTTACCACAAAGCTAAGGGACTACCAGACTTGTTGAAATTAGGCCACTGTTCATTCAACTGGTGACGCAGAACCTGAACCAGTGGAAAAACATTAATCAGTTATCTCACTTTAGTACTGTAGGGGAGCCTTTTCATGTCCTTGACACATCGGCCAAACAATGCCAGACCCATACTTTTATAGACCAATCAGCATTCGGTGGTTGATGTAACCAGATGCCTTTACTTCCTAGGACATTACCATGTACCCAATTTAGGGTAGGTCACTCCAGAAGCATGGGTCAATTCTGAAACAAATCCAACTGAGCCCGAATTCGAACCAAAGAGCTGTGTGCCAACAGGTGGGCCTCTAGCCACTAAACAACAACTGCTCCCTAGTACTGTTATGACGGAAATAGATACTGATTAGAGATTCTGGATGTCTCTGTGTGGGTTCAAGGGCCCCACTCTGGCAAGGAGGTGGGTGAGGACAGACTAGCTGCCCCCACAACAAGCATGTCATAAAAGCTAGCTAATTAGGGGTGTTTCTGTCAAATTTGGAGTGCATAAGACAGATGTGCACACAGAACTCAAGTCAGGAACAAGACTGAAGTCCAGAAGTGGATAAACAACCAAAACTTTCCATTTAAGTTCACAGCTTGTGGATGCAAAGAACGAAAGGAAGGAAGGAAGGAAGGAAGGAAGGAAGGAAGGAAGGAAGGAAGGAAGGAAGGAAGGAAGGAAAAGAACGAAGGAAGGAAGGAAGGAAGGAAGGAAGGAAGGAAGGAAGGAAGGAAGGAAGGAAGGAAGGAAGGAAGGAAGGAGGAAGGAAGGAAGGAAGGAAGGAAGGAAGGAAGGAAGGAAGGAAGGAAGGAAGGAAGGAAGGAAAGGAAGGAAAGGAAGGAAGGAAGGAAGGAAGGAAGGAAGGAAGGAAGGAAGGAAGGAAGGAAGGAAGGAAGGAAGGAAGGAAGGAAGGAAGGAAGGAAGGAAGGAAGGAAGGAAGGAAGGAAGGAAGGAAGGAAGGAAGGAAGGAAGGAAGGAAGGAAGGAAGGAAGGAAGGAAGGAAGATATAACAAGAAGAAGAAGAAGAAGTTAAAAGCATATGTTAAAACTGAAATACACAAGAACTGAAAATACAAAACTTGGTTTTAAAACTACACAATTTAGAGTTTCATATGTTGTTCCAGCTATTATAAGATCTTGCTATAGGTTATATCCTAGCACTGATAATGCTATATTAGTATGAAATACAAAAAAACATATACAATAAACACCTTGATCTCGGTATAGTTGAAAGTCATAGAATCATTGCAATATGCAGGCAGCTCCCCTGTATAAGCTGAAGGCCTGTAAAATAAAAATAAAAAATAAAAAACAGCAACATTTTTGCATGTTGGCAGCAAGACATTGATCATTGTTATATTTAACTGCAATATCTGATAGACCTAAGAGACACCGCACTCTTTAAAAACCATACTGGAGGAATAAGTCAAGGGTAAGACAGCAAGAGGTAGACGGTGACACAAGTGGGAGGACAACAGCAAGAGATGCATGAACAGCAGTCTGAGAGAGTGTACAACCATGACTAGAGACGAGAGTGTTGGAGATATATTGCAGCCACCCTACAATGTGGAGATGGCACCTGAGAGACTGACTTATCTGAGGTTTGCTCACAAAAAGAAAATGGCACACAGAAATGCCAAGTTTAAAATATACACTTCCAATTACAATGATAAAGAATTTAATTTAAACAAATGACAAAATATAATAAATATTTATTAGTGTAATATCAAACTATATTATATTATTATTATATTATATTATATTATATTATATTATATTATATTATATTATATTATATTATATTATATTATATTATATTATATTATATTATATTATATTATATTATATTATATTATATTATATTATATTATATTATATTATATTATATTATGTTATGTTATGTTATGTTATGTTATGTTACATTACATTACATTACATTACATTACATTACATTACATTATATTATATTATATTATATTACATTATATTATATTATATTATATTATATTATATTATATTATATTATATTATATTATATTATATTATATTATATTATATTATATTATATTATTAGTGAAATAAAATGATAACATTTTTTAAAGAATATGATGTATCAACATAATTTAACAGGTATTTATCAGTGTAATAGTTGACTGTGATATTTCGGAAGTTCACACACACAGGATTAGATACATACAAACTCTAAAATGGTGTAGCAAAGAAGGATTAAACTGGGATAGCAATATAGGGATTAATCTGGGATAGCAAAGTGAAGATGAAAGTGGGATAGTAATATGAGGATTCTACTAGGATAGTAAAGTAATTATTAAACTAGGGTACCAATGTGAAGATTTAACTATAGTGACAAAATAAAGATTCAAATTTGATTGCAAAGTGAGGACTAAACTAGTTTAGCAACTTCAGGACTAACATTTGGGTAGCAAAAGGGGGTATAAACTAGAATAGCAAAGTGAGGTCTCAACTAGAATAGCAATGTCAGGACTGCATCTGGGGTAGCAAAGTGAGGACTAAACTAGAATAGCAATGTCAGGACTAAACCTGGGTAGCAAAGGGATGACTCAACCAGGAATAGCAAAGTGGGGACTAAACTGGTATAGCAATGTGAAGATTAAAATTGAGTTGTAATTTAATGTTAAACGTGGATAGCAATGTGAGGATTAAACTATGGTAGTAATGTACAGACTAATCTGGTGCAGTAATGTGTGGAGTTTATAAACAGAAATCCTAGTGCAGGACTAAAGAAGTATGATAGAAAACCTTTGAATAAGTGATGACACATGACTGTGTATTCAGTAAAGAAAGGCATTGAAGCTTGCTATAAGCACTGATAAAACAGTGGAGCAAGAAATCACAGCTAAAGAAGATTACAACAAAAAAAGACAAACAAATCAATAGTTGTGCAAAGGCAAGATTAGAGAGCATATATTGATAAATTAGCTTTAGTTGGAGACAGGCAGGTAAGAACAGAAAATAGTCAAATACTATATAATACATTTAAACAGCTAATACTTTCAGACTGTGGGGCGCTCTCACTAAAAGTAAGAATGGTACAATGCTTGCATTTGATACTGAGCAGAAGATATGGGCAGAACACTTCCAAGAAATCATGAATAAGAATCCATAACACGTATCAACAATACTTGGGTACTACTCATGAGATTTCCAGGGCTTCCATTTATGGGCCGTCACCGTTCCCATGGGCTGCTGTATCTTCTAGGGCTGTCAGGATAGTGTGGGAAAATTGTTCGAGGCCTGATACTGCAACTTTCTGCATGAGTCTTTCTTAGCTGGCAAGTGATAAGAGTTATTTCATCTTTCTTGTTCTTTGTTTATGATCAGGGACAAGTGATAAACTAACTTTTTGTCTCTGTATAAACTGCATGTCTTTTGTGAGCCTCTCTGTTTTGAGAATTGATGGCATTTTGTGGTGGGGAATAAAAAAGCGCGTTTGGGAGTGGGGTAGAGTTCGGGTTAGGTTATATCTGCATACATTATTATAGCTAAGATATTTATTAATTCTAGTTTTATCATCTATTAGACTCAAAAGCCAAATATTGTCCATAATTTTCAAAATAAAAATCAAGAAACCTAGATAGCAACTAAAAAAACGAACATCTGGGGGGGGGGGGGGGGGGGGGGAGCAGTGGCAGCCATGAGCTTTACAGATACTGAGTTGCTGCCAAAAAGTGATGGTGCTTTGATTGTCACCCTCTCACGATGTGGAACACAGAACACTTGGGCAGTCAAAAAGAAGAAAACCTGACACCACTAGCCCATAGCAGCGCATGGGAAAGGTCATAGCCCTGTAAACGAAAGCTCTGGAAATCTAGCGTGAATGCAAGAAGCGCGCTTTTGCGGACACAAATGTGAGTTGTATCAGTGGTAAATAAAGGGATTAAGGATGCCCAAGAGAAACCCTAAGATTAAAGTTGATGAGAAAGAGACCAAAGCTGCTGGCCTTGATTCCATCCATGAAATTAAACGGACTGCAGAGGATAGAAAGGAACTGAAGAACAGCTGCGATCCGAGGCATGGACGCCCAAGAGAAATTCTAAGGTGAAAGTTGATGAGAGAGGCCAAAGCTGCTGGCCTGAATGCCAATTATGATATTTCAACAGACTTCACAGTAAAGAAAGGAATTGAGAAACAAAATGCTGGCCCTATCTGATATATAATGACACAACAGGATAATAAATGAAGGAATGTAAGAATTACAGTTGGACAGCAATCTCAGGATTATACTGGAATACTAATGTAAGAACATCCTAAACTGAGGATTAGATAAGAATGTGAGTGAGACAAACGTGAAGTAATGCTTACCACAGCCCATGGATTGTCCAGCTATGAGTACTAGGAGGAACAGCACATTTCTGAAAGGAAAACATTATAATTAATCAATTTACCAAACACAATTTGAAAAAAAAAAGACATTAGATATGTTCTAAGCAAAAGCTAATGGTTGACGTTTGGTGCCGGAGAGCCTAGCATACAATACCAAAATATCAAGCTTAAGATTGAGGTGGAGGCGGTCACTGCGGCTTTTAGCTGGCTAGAGAACACGGCACAAACACATTTTGATTGTAACTGACTCCAAAAGCATGCTGAGGAGGGTGAGGACAGGCATGCACCCAAAAGCATGTCGTAAAAGTCGACTAATTAGGAGCTTTATTCTAAGTCGTTCATCTGCCTGAGAGGCAAGAAACCAGCAGTCTGCATACAATTGAGTCAGATCTGTAAAATGGATGCACATGCAACACTCAGGTTCTGGAACAGGACTGCAGTCCAGAAGTGGATGAACAACCAGAGCTTTCTGCCAGAGTTTACAGCCTGGTGAACGCAAAGAAGAAGAAGAATAGGTGGACAGAATACACAGAGGACCTATTTTGGGATAACAGAGGCATCAAACCAGAACTGTTTAATCTTTACAATGGACCAAACATTTTAAAAGCTGAAGTGGAGAGGGTTATTTAAAACATGAAGCATGGTAAATCCGAAGGTCCTGACAAAATAACAAAGGAAATGATCAAATCAATATCCAGCTTTGGCGTTGATAGTGTCAATGAAATCTGTAATGATATTTATAATACTTGCTACATTCCAAAGGTTTTTAAAATTTCTATTTTCATTACACTGCCCAAAAATTCAAAAGCTGTTGAGTATGAAGAATTCAGAACAATTAGTCTGATTAGCCACATAACTAAAATACTTCTGAAGAACATGCAAGAGGCCATTTAAAAAAACAACAGACAAAGGCAGTGCCTGAGGAACAGTTTGGCTTTTGAAAAAAAAAAAAGTGGCACTAGGGAAGCCATAATTTGCCTAAAGATGTTGACTGAAAAATAGAAGTCCAGATAAGTATTTATGCATGTTTCATAGATTCCAAGAAGGTCACTGAGAACGTGCAACACAAAAAGTTTATTGTATGCCTCTAAAACATAGGATTAGATGGAAAGATATCAGAATTATGAATAATCTGTTTTGGGAACAAATAGCAACAGTAAGACACACAATATTACTTCACCACAAATGGAGATAAAAATAGGAGTATGTCAGGGATGTATACTATCCCTAAGCCTTTTCAGCTTATATGCAGAAAACATTTTTAAACAAGTTAAAGAATTTCCTGGACTGAATATTAATTGAGGAACAATAATAAATCTTAGATACATGGATGACTTATTGCTACTAGCAGAAAATGAGCAGAAGTTACAAGAACTAAGTATATAGTCTATCAAGTAAATAGGTCGAGCGCACAGTATGGTTTAGATATTAACATTAAAAAAACAAAAACTGTGGTAATTAACAATAGAAAAGAGCGGCCAACCGTGAACATCACAATAAATGGGCTACTATTAGGACAAGTAACAAGTTTCTCCAATCTACAACATGTAGCAACATATGATGGAAGAAGCGAAAGAGAAATCAAAAAGAGACTAGAAAAGGCTAAAAATTTCTTCAAAAAGATGTGCAAATTACTGACAGCTAGAGAGATCAACACCATACTAAAAATAAGCATTGTCAAATGTTTTGTATACTCAATCCAGCTGTATGGTGCAGAAAGTCAGACAATAAACAAGCAACTAGAAAATTGAGTCTGGAAATATGGACATACAGAAGAACAGGTCATATTTCATGGAAACAAAAACAGTCCAATACAGAGGTTCTGGAAAGACTACACCTGAAAAGAGAATTACTGAAAGAAATAAAAAAGAGATTATTGAAATACTTTAGCCATATTGAAAGACAACACAATTTTAAAAGCTATACTGGAGGGAAAGGTTGAAAGCAGCGATACAAGTGGGAGGACAATATCAACAGATGGACGGGCAGCAGTCTGAGAGAGTGTACAACCAGGTCAAGAGACAGAATGTGTTGCAGTCAACCTTCACTGTGGAGACGGCACCTGACTGATGATGATGAAAAGAGTTCAAAGTAGCCTTACATCTGGAGCCTTACATCTGTGGAGAGGTATATGAGGATATAACCAGATCCTGAATCAGGTTTCTTATCCTCATAGGACTGCGAGTTGCACCAGATTGGTGTAACCATTAAAGGTGCCCTAATTATCATTTCTTTGGAGGTTGAACAATGCATCCGGGATCTATCTTGCTGGTTTACCATCCACATTGAGTTTTTATTTATTTTTTTTTATTTTTAAATCTCAGGGTTCAGGTAGCAGTCCAGAAGGGACAAACCGATCAATCATGATTCAGCACAGCACCCATGAGTGGCTGAAAATTGTATCATTCACAGGAATTATATATCTCATTGTCAATACATTCCAGCTTAAAGCTCATGTGATAACAATTGACCATAATGGATATAATAAATAAGGCAAATTTTAAAATTTAGTTGCACAGACCTTTTCTCCGAAATAAACACAAGACGTTCCTGGCCAGAACTGAGCCATTTTAAGGTAATCCCAAGATTCCTTTGTGGCAGATGTTGTTTTGGCAGAAAAGCTATAGACGTTCAGAATACAGGACTGTTTATTAAGTTTTCTCAATGACTACAATTTTTTAAAAACAAGTAATAGCATATTATAACATGAACATAATGACACTTGATACATATTTTGTCATCCATTAAGAACTGAATGACTCTAAAAAATATGGGACTTAAAGTACACACTCATAATGTCTAACAGCATATACAAATGTCCTTTGGTACTTCACTTCATCGCCATTTCGTTAACACCATGTCTTGTCATCCAGAATCCATGCCTTCCATTTCTATTCTATGCATTTCGAATTATTTACAATTCGGCCAACCGCAGATTACTTCGATACGCGGAAGCTTCTGCGATTGGCAGATTGAAACCGGAACTGTGTAGGCAAAAAGAAATGGTCGTTGCCCTACGCTTACCTTGGTGAAACAGTTTGAAATGTACTCGAATTTGTGTTTCAGTTTCTAGGATTCAGCTATTTGCTTCATTTTAATTTAATTGTTACTGTAGTATGCACCTGAAGAGATACAGCGAAATATGCCAGGCAATAAATTGTGCAGTCTATTATTTGTGTCTTCTTTGTTCAAATTCACATTGGGGAAACATTGCTTTGATCATTTCTATTCTGTCTAGATCACAGTAAGTTTCCCAGATATGATACTGTTTATGAGCCACTGTCTTCTGTGCTGAAGTCTGGTAGAATATGTTTCTCTCTGTTTAATCCAGGGCTATTCAGTTAAGTTTACTCAGGAACCAAAATGTTGAAAATGGAGAATCTCATGGGCCAGAGTCCTGAGCCACAGTGCAGAAAGAGGTTAGTTCCATGAAAGTCTCCCCACGGACTGCCCATATACACTAGCTCACTTCTGATTGGTCGACCTTCAGTCATCCAACCGTCGCACACTGCTACGGGGGTGTTCGGCAATGTCGTTGATACTGCATGTTGTATATTTAAGCACGCCAGCACTTTTAACTCTACAAGAACATTTAAAATCTGCGTCTAACACACAACCCCCTAGACAGTGCTCCAACCTATGTCACAGGCATTCTCTTTCTCAGAAGAAAAACGTAAATGCAAGACAAGCCAGAAAGGAAACAACATAGTGGCAACATGTTACACCCCCCCCCCCCCTTTCCCGGACAGCAGACCAGTCAAAAAGATTAATGAATGGAACATGACCTTGTTTGGGGAGATTATCATGGAACTGACCCAGAAAGAATTCTATTACAGTCAACAATGATCAATGAGCCACTTGCTAGGTCACTGTGGGCCAGATTTGACCAACTGCCAGTCAGTTGAATATCCCTAATGTAGATGTTCTAATAATGTTTTTGTGTGACAGGTGTATTTAAACAATTCAATAACTGAAAATTATGAATACAAAATGTAATACAGACAACTGTCTCTGCAAAAATGTGTATAAAACCAGCTCCAGAACAACTCATTGTATATGTTAAAAAAGGGTTCACAACCTGGTCACAAAATGTGATGATAGTAAGTTTAATGAGTCAATTATCAAAGCTAAAAGAGCTAAAGTTGCTCTATTGTCCAGACCATGTATCTGGAAATAAAAGGGTTAATTTCTGGTCTCCAGGTGAAAAACGGGAAGCCAAGCAAAGAAGATATCATAATGACCATAAATGATTGCCTCTTGTGGGAAGAACTTCAAAGCAATAACTATAAGCAGTTACAACTAATGAAACTAGGAACATCATCATCATCATCAGGTGCCTTGCCGACTGGCAGTGGCGATCATGCCTCTCCACAATCTGCGATCTCCTGCAGCATGTATCAGTTCGTGTGCTGACACACCTCCATGCCATGCAACAAGACTGTCAAGCATCTTCTCTTGTTGTCTTCCTCTATCTCTCCTTCCACATATCTTTCCAGTGGTCGCAACATGTTCTATTTTCCCTCTTCTCATACATGGCCAAAAAATGATGACTGTCTCCTTCTGATGTCTGTGATAAGTTGTCTTCGGGCTCCTGCCTCTTTCAAAACCTCTTGGTTGCTCTTTTTTGGCTGTCCAAGGTATTCTAAGCATTCTTCTGTAAAACCCCATCTCCGAGGCCTCCAGAAATTGTTTGGCCTGCCTACCGACTGTCCAGGATTCACAGCCATATGTTAAAACTGGATGTATGTAGCAAGCAAGAATTCTTTTTCTAACTCTCAATGACAGAGATATATTGCACAAGATGTTTTTCATTTTATAAAATGCAGTTTTTGCCTGTCCTATTCTATTTCTTATCTCAGTTATGCATCTTCCATCTGATTTTATCCATGTGCCCAGAAACTTAAATTTCTGTACTTGTCCTAAAATAACACCATCAACTTTTATTACACACTTAGGAATAATTCGTTTCTTTGATACCACCATTACTTCTGTCTTCCCATTATTCAAACTGAGGCCCATTCTTCCACTTTCTAACACCCCAATGTCTATCATTTCTTGTTGTTATTTCTGACTTGTTGCTATCAAGACTGTGTCATCAGCATAATGTAAATTGTTTATATTGTGCCCACCAACCACAATTCCAGGCATACAAATTAAAGCTCTCATTAAATATTCACTGTATATTGAAAACAAATCAAGTGACAGTACACATCCTTGTCGTACGGCCCTCTTTATGCTTTGAAATGTTCCTAAACAGTTGTTAATTCTTATAGCTGCTGTTTGCTGCCAATACATATTCTTTATTATTCGTAGATCTTTCCCATCAATGTTTAATTTTTCTAACAGTTTGATTACTTCTTCATGCTTCACACACTCAAATGCTTTTGAAACTAGGAACAGAGTTCAGTATTAGAAGGAAAGATCATGGTACGTAATGAAGCAGAAGTGTGGATAACTGATTTAGACTGTTGCATAAAAGTATAATTAATTCAACATTATTATCTGGACCCAAAAAAAAAAAGGAAAGGAAGAAATACTAAAACAATTAAATTATTATTTAACTTTGAAGTTTCTAAGTTAGAAAGACATTTGTTTGACTTCTGTTTTCTAAATCAATTCCACAGCCATCCCAGAAACACTGAAACTTAGCTAAGATACAAATACAAAAAATATATTAAACATGTGCATACACTCACCTTGACAGAAGACTGACAATAAAACAGAAAATACTTCTTTTGGCCATGTTTATATAGTAATCTGAAAGTAAATTTTACATTTTTTATCATCATTCCTCTCCGCAGATCACGGTGTTTGGTGTTCTGGATCTATTCCAATGATGATATTCCTCCATGCCACAGTCTTAAGCCATCCACCTTCATTTCCATTGGTCTGCTTGCCTCTTCTACCAGTGACCTTTCCATTTTTCACAAAATTTTCCAGTGCTCATTTTATCATCACATGACCAAAGAACGTTCACTCTTTCTCATTGTTGTATTTAATGTTCTACTTTCATTAGCCATTTCCAGGCAATCGTTGTTAGTTATTCTGACAGTACAAGGTATTCACAATATTCTTCTCAAGTACCACATCTCAGTTGCCTCCAAACTCTTCTTAATTTTTTGCTCACATTCCAAGATTCATTACCACACAACAGATGATGTTTAATGAGAGTGATTTATTACATAAGATACTTTTCATCTTCTGAAATGCTGCCTTTTTCTGGTCAGTTCTGCTCTTCATTTCTGTCACACATCCTCCATCTGATTTTATGAATGTCCCCAAAATACTTAAATTTATGGACTTGGTTAAGCATGTTCCCTTCTACTGCTATGTCAATTTTGGAGTTATCTTCTTCTTTGATAAAACATTGTTTCTGTTTTCTTGACATTCAAGTAGTATTTATTTCATGCTGTATCTTTTGCATGTTGAACTTAGGCTGTTTGAATGGTCTTGCAGTCTACTCCCCTCATTGTAGAACAGGCACTGATCGTCTACAAACTAGCTCATTTTATTGTGTGTGGATCTTATTCTTCCTATGGAAAGTAAAGTTCCTAATTTTCTGGATTTTCTGGGTTGACTGCTTAAAAACTTGCTTCCTTTTATATTCTATTTATGTATGTAGTAAATAAAAGAGGAGATAGCACACATCCCTGCTTTACCCTTATATTGACTGTAAACATATCAGACATGCGTTCTTGTGTTCTCACTTCACTTTGGGAAGTGTGATACATGGCCACGATGTTATCTTGCAACTGTCATTGAATCACATAATCCTCAAAAATAGCCCATAGTTTGTTTCTATCTACTCTATCAAAAGCTTTTTCTTGATCTACAAACACAATATTTCATTCATTGTCATATTCAATGGTCTACAGCCAAAGATCATACAAATTATGCAAAAGATAGTACTAATGCTGAAAACAGAAAATTAAAATAAGTACATTTTGAAAAATGCTTAAATATATTTATAGATTGGTAAAAGTAAAAGTAAAGATCCCTTTTCACATCTTTAGGAAAGAGTACCCATATTTTTTACAGACCAATTGACACTAGGTGTGTAATATGGTCAGCATTACGCCGACCGTCTTTACTTCCTTAGGACATACATCCTGCTACCCATTTTAGGCTAGGTTGACCGGTGACGCCCCATACCATGATAAAAATCCACACAACCAGCAATGGGTTTGGATCTCGGTAAGTTGTACTAACGAGTATGACTCGCAATGCCTTAGCCACGGATGCCGCTATAGATGGGTAGTCATCATCATCATCATAAACCACTTCTGCCATTAAGCATCGTGGGGAGCAATCATTTGCAATCCAGTGCACGTTGGCTGCCACTGGCTATTGTCATGCTGTGAAGGCGTAGAGTGTCTTTAATATGTTTTTGATCCATTTCTGTCCTTTTGCTCTTGTAGCTGATCTTCTGAGATGTAGTGCTTGTGATGGTATTTGATCTTGCTGCATTCTAACGAGATGGCCAAACCACTTGATCTGCTATTTCTCGATGGAAACTAGCACAAGGTGTCGTTCCCACAATTTGCCTGATAGTTTCATTATTAACGGAATCTCGGATGGTTAGGTTGGCTGCTTTTCTCAGGCACCTCTTATAGAAGGTGGTGATTTTGCGTATATGGGCTTTAGATAGTGTCCATGTTTGGCACTGGTAGCTTAATGTTGCAATAAATATGCTGTTTCATATCTGTTTCAAACATGTCTCTGTGCACTCATAGTTAGGATTGGATGTCTGAATAATGGCAACAACTGGTATATAAGTGCACTTGCTTTTTGACATCTGTTTCTATTTCTCTGTCAATTCTACCATTTTTGTGATCATACTTCCTAGATATTTAAACTTCCTAACTTAATTCAGAGCAGAACCATTCCACTGTGTGTGTAGTGGGGCAGGGGTTCTACTAACTTGCATTGTTTTGGTTTTGTTTGCATTTATCTTCATGTTGTATTTACTGCATGCTGAGTTTAACCTGTTAATGTGGTCTTGCAGTCTATCTTCTTCAGGGTAGAACAAGCACTGATCGTCAGGAAATAGTAATTCATTTAATGTGGGTGAATCGATAACTTCTTCCTCATGATTATAATAGATGGGTAGTACATACACATACATGTACATATAGATGGGTAGTACACAGTAAACAAATTTGATTTATCTTAGAAGTTCCACATGTGGGTTCCAGGGACTCATTTAGGGGAGAGGGGTGTTTCCTTTGAAGCCATAATTCATCTGCTTGAGAGGTGGGGAACCAACAGTCTATATAAATAAGTCAGATAGGTAAAACGAATGTGCACACAAAACTCAAGCTCTGGAAAAAGACCAAAAACCAGAGATGGACTTACAACCAGAACTTTCTGCTGCAGCTGTTGAATGTGAGGATCTGAAAGGAATCATTCACATACATATACATAATAACAATAATGGCCAACAGTATAATACTATCAGAAAAATTTAAATACCTATAAAAACAACACACTATGTATTTTAAAAAATTTGTTAGATAGAACCTGTTCTGGTGTATGGCAACGAATCTTAGAATGGCAGTGAACAAATTAGGCAGAATTCGGAAACAACAGAGATATGGTTTCTGAGAGGAATGTTACGAATACCTTGGACCACCAGAGTAACATCATGATAATTGGCAAGATTAGTGGAAAATGGGGTAGAGGCAGACCTAGAGAGATGATACTGGTTGGGCTGAATCGATGGTATGGAGGGATATCATCCAGGCATCCAGGGATCGTGATCTGTGGAGACTCATGAGAGCCTACGCCAGTTAGCAGGGCACATGATGATGATGATGTATTTTAGTTTAAAACCAGAAGGGTTAATATGAAAAACAATGTAACGTACAAATGCTGCTGCTGCAACTACTGTTGCTGCTGCTGCTACTGCAACTACTGTTGCTGCTACTGCAACTACTGTTGCTGCTGCTGCAACTGCTGCAACTACTGTTGCTGCTACTGCTATCAATACTACTACCTGCTTATCTTTCCAGTGATGGGAAATAGCAAGGAAGTAAAATAAACAGTTACTATGGGAAACCCCAATAATAGCAGTACAAAGTCGAAAGAACGTATGTACCCCCAAGTGGTAGCAATGAAATGTAAACATCCCAGCAATGAATGCTAACATGCCGGCAATAAACTACAACTAAGTACAGCCTGACACTTCACTATCTGCCGATAAGCCATCCGTACACTGTCCCAGTAATTACAGCCCAATTCTTTGATAATAAAGGATTTAAAAAACAAATGGCTTAGCCAACTTACTGTTTACTTCCCGGTCTTACAATTAGGTCACCTTACACAACCTGTCAGATTTCAGGAACCGTGAATTTCTGGCAAATGAAATGTTTCCTGTGAAAACGAAAGCATACGGTCATTATGTAATGTCCTACAGATAGCAGTAGTACTTTTTCTCTTTTGAAATTCATAGGCACACCGCTCACCCAGAGCTTAATTTTTTCTTCTTTTTGAGCCCATTTTTTTCTTTAATGTTTTTGTTATTCGGTGTGTGTGGGGGGGGGGGGGGGGTGTTTGTGGGTGGGAGGGAAGGGGGGAGGGGTCTTGTGCCCCATTCCCATTTTTTGTTGACCTATAAATTTGTCAGGGAGTGGGCGTCGGGTTGAGCGCCCCCCCCCCCCCCCCATAGTCACTTCGTCGCGCCTATTTGTAGCACTGTAAGATTTGTTGGCCGACCGAGGCTTGTGCCGAGCCCACGACCTATGATCAGAGGGCAAACCACATAACCACTTTATTACGAGGGTCACGTTCAACAAGTGCAGCGATACTCGTTGCTACAAAGTAAGTAAAAGTAAAATAATCTTTTCACGCTTTAGGCGCATCAGGCCTACGGTAAGAGCACCGATAATTTTACAGACCAATCGGCACTAGGCGGGTAATAGGGTCAGTATTACGCCGACCGTCTTTACTACCCCATGACACACATCCTGGTACTCATTTTAGGCTGGGTTGACCTGCGACGCCCCAAACCACGATAAAAAATCCACTCTGCCAGCGGTGGGTTTCGATCGCGGACGTTGGAATTACGAGTCGCACTCGCAACGCCTAAGTTGTTGTTACAAAACAGTCTTTATTTATTGATCTATTTTCTGTATTTCTGTTTTAATATAAAAACATTCAAATGCCCGAAACCCACTTCACACTACTCCTTCATCTGAATTTCTGACAGCTTCTTTTATTGTCTGTATTTTATAAAGGATTCACTGTTAGTGGGAATACTCTCGTGCATTGAAGAACAAGACTCAACAGGTAAACCTTACGAACCCCCCCCCCCCCCCCCCAGTGTTAGCCCCGCTTATTTACACATTAGGTCATTTTGATTGGTCTTGCTCATCCTCGTCAACTGTATTGAAGACTACGGGGGTGTTCCGCGACACCGTTAACATCACATGTTGTATATTTCAGTACGTCATCGCTTTTAACGCTCCAAAAACATGCAGGACTGGTCCTAACACAACCCCAACCCCCCTACTTTACGAGATTGCTGCAACAAATGTCACAGGCATGCTCTTTCTCAAAATGAAAACGTAAATGGCAGACAAGGCAGAACAGTTTTCGAGCAAACAGTAACACGGGACACATCTATAATCTTAATAAAAGTTTACCAGCCGAACAAACTATGAATGAAACGTGACCTAAATAGGCGGGGCTAACTCTGTTTGGGGAGATGTTCGTAATATTCACCCCTCAACGAAGTCAAATCTTAGGGGCGCCGGAACCTAGCAACTCGGGTATTTTGAGCTCCCTCTCTCATAAAATTAGTGCCCCCCCCCCTTTTAAAAACAAAAATAAGTAACGTGGGTAAATATTACGGAAATCTCCCGATGAGTGTTAGCCCCCCACACCCCCCTTTTATATTCCCCACTTACGCACTAGGTCACTTTTCAATAATAGTTTGTTAGGGTCGTCAACTTTGCTGAAGGTTACGGATGTGTATCGGTGTACTGTTTGCACGAAAAGCTTTGTGGGTTGTCTTCTATTGACGTTTTCATTCCGAGAAAAAAATGGGCGTGAAGTAAGTTGCAGCACTCTCGTAGAGGGTTTGTCTTAGGACCAATCCTGCATGTTTTTGGAGTGTTAAAACAGCTGACATGCTGATTCATACAAGGGTGTTGTTTACTCCAGCATGTCAGCGCTTTATGACATGATTTTTTTTTATTCAGAAAAAAGAGTCACTTCCTTTCTTTGCTTTTTGACCCCCCATGATTAATTTTTCTAAACCTTGTTCACTGTTATTCAATCTATGCTTGGTTAATATAAGTTGCTGTTACCTGTGGTGCCATTTCAATTGTTTGAGATGAATTCTGTCCGTATTCCAAAGTTGTGGATTTGTTCTTCATCTTCGCGTTCACCAGTCGTTAACTCTGGCGAAAAGTTCTGGCTGCTCATCCGCTTCTGGACTGCAGTCATGTTCCAGAACCTGAGTGTAGCGTGTGCTTCCGTTTTACCGATCTGACTCATTTGTAGATTTCAGGCACATTCATTCCGACTTCAAAGTTGGCTCCCAATTAGTTGACTCTTACGGCAAGCTATTTGGTAGGCAGTGGGTCTATGACTGACTGACTTTCTACCCCACCAGGACATCACACAAGCGATAAACACCCGATGACACAAAATGCCACCATGTGGATGGGGATCGCCGTGGAGAGGTCCCAGAAACCGCGTTCAGACAGTTGGCCACATTTATGGCCTGCCTATATTGCGGCCCCTGGCAAAAGCCAGGGTGGAGCTTCAAAGAACAAACAATTTCGTCCTAAAAAGCACGTAAGGGTTAATGGGCGTAAGTGGGTCTATTTCCAGTTTTCTCTTTAAAAAGGGGAGATGGATTTACAGATGGATTTACAGCTGTACGATTTCCATGGCCAATGAAGACACATTTTTTAAAGGGGTGCCAAGTTGGTCATGTAGCTTAGAACATTTGTTTCAATACCGAGGTGACAGTTTCGATTCCCGGCACGGTAACTGTAGCTTTCTAATTTCATATTGTCTAGTGTGTCCTTCGGTCTTTCTACTTCTTTGTATGAGTACCGATCAATACATTGTCTTTTGTTATATATATAATATTAATATCTTCGTATCACGATCGAGATTAGTACCACTATTGCTCTTTTCTTTTGGTACTCTACTCTATTATTATAGACAACTATTTTAACTAATTATGCTAGACGCAATTTGGAAAAGGGGGGGAATGAGAAAAAGGTAAGAACAGGAGGCACAGAAAAAGAGTCCCCAACTAAGCTCCGAGATCATTAATTCATTCATTCAGTAGCATGTCCCTCGCGGAACCTCGCTGCCATAACAACCCTCCGGAAAACCTTCCTATCATGAGCAAGATGTCCTGCGTCTGATACACCCATCTGGAGATCATCTGCCACATCCTGCACCCATCTTCTCCTTGGCCTTCCTCTTCCTCTCTTCCCAGGCATATACCCCTCCATTATTGTTCTCTCTAGACCTCCATGACGTTTCAAGTGACCAAAATATTTCAATTTTCTTTGTTTTATTGTCTTTACTAGCGAACCCTCTTCAATATTCAGCTCTTGAAGTATGGATGCATTTGTTCTTTTCTTTACCCAAGATATTCTTTAGAACCTGTCTGTAACATTTATATTCAAATGCATTTATGCGCTGTTCCGCTTGTTTAGTAAGTGTCCAGGTCTCACAGGCGTATGTTTGCAATGGAAAGATGCATGCTCTTAAAAATCTGACCTTTGTAATTCTATCTGTACAATTCCATAATTTATTCAGTTGTTTTAGTCTTTGAAGAGCAATTGATAGTCGCCGTTTAATTTCTTTCATTGTGTCACCATTGTTGGTAACCAGTGACCCAAGATATTCGAAATTTTCCACCACTTCCAATCTTTCCTCATTAACATATATTTCCTTCTCCATGGCAGTTTTTAACCCATTAACCAGTACTTAAAAAAAATGATTAATCTAGTGTGTTGGTTAGCCTGTGGGATTGCGTGATGTGCTTACATTTGGCTTGGCGTGGGAAGAGATCGGATCCGGGGATTATATTATTACCTTTACCTTTTACACATACAATGCTGACGTCATAATATCCACAAAATATGGCGGAACAAGAACTGAATGTAGACAGTATCATATCCAGGCTACTTGAAGGTTTAACATATATATATCGTTGATGTCTGCACAACTGTATGTCGTAGTTCTTATAATGAATGATTCTACATTGTTGTGTTGTGAGTTTTAATTATCAGTGTTCTAAAACTACAAAAGCAGCTGGCTTACAGAGTAGTACCGGAGTGTAGTATGATGATATGATCGGGTATCGGCCAGTTCTAAGAGTTCTTGTTGAAAAATTGTTCTATCAAACTTCAGTTTCAGTACTTAAAAAAAAAAAGTATGCCTTCCTAAACTGCTGTTAAACAGTATTTAAAACAGCATTTCTAGAGACAGCTTGTTAATACTAACAGAACTAGAATAGAATAGCTACTTAAAATTTGAAAGTCAATTAGTCAATCCATGATAAAAGAACTAAATAAATGGAAACGAAACGGGAAAAAGCGACGTATTTCTAAGTTGCGGTACTCTGAGACTTAGTCTTATTCTAAACTCAGACTCAACTGACAGCTGTGTTTGATCAGTTTTACTTTGCTATAATAAATGTTTATAATATAACTATAAACTATAACAATATATTGTCTCGATAGATTGCTGATGTACAAAATATGTCAAATTTGTGCATATTTCATAAAAGAACAAAAATGGGACTATCCTCCGAATAACGGCCACATATTAAGGCGGGCAAAAACACACCCTGACAGGGCCACATTAGGTCGTGTGTTGAAAACATTCAAAAACTTGAACTCAAAAATGAGGAACAAAAAAAACAAAAAAGAAAATGACGAAATCGACTACTTAGCAATAACTGAAAATTGTGGCACATAAGTTGCAAATAGTTGCCAAATATCTGCTCCTTGTGTCTATGGCACCATTGAAACTCTGCTAAATATGATCAGAACAAGGTGCGGCTAGTGCCGCATTGGTAATGCAGTTTTTACTGCCGACAGTATTCCCCGCCAAACCACTTGATCTGCTGTTTCTCGATGAATCCAGTACAAGGTGTCGTTCCAACACTTCACCTGATAGTTTCATTATTCACTTTATCTCCGATGGTTAGGTTGGCTGCTTTTCTCGGGCATCTGATCTCGCAGGTGGTGATTTTGCGCATGTAGGCTTTAAATAGTGTCCATGTTTTGCACTAGTAGCTTAATGTTGGAATAAATATGCTTTTAATAATCTGTCTCTTTGCACTCATAGTTATGCTTGGATGTCTTAATAATGGTGACAATTGGTATATAAGTGCACTTGCTTTCTGACATCTGGTTTCTATTTCTCTGTCAATTCTGCCATCTTCTGTGACCTAGATTTTTAAACACTTTAACTTGATTCAGAGCAGAACCATTCAGCTTTAAGTGTAGTGGGGCAGGGGTTCTACTAACTTGCATTGTTTCGATTTTGTTTGCATTGATAAAAAATTGTAATAGGTTGTGGTGCTTGTTGTGAAATCAGATGTGTGTGGTCAATAGGTACAGAAATCACAACCTGGCTGTAAACCACAACACAGTGTGCTCTAACTGCCCTTTTATATACGAACACACAAGATCAAGACGAAGAAGAATGCATTGATGTATAAAAACATAATGATTTCCCCATATTTGATGTAGAATTATTTTATTTGTTCATAAACCTTTGTTGTGTGCATTGACTGCTTTTGTCTGTAAATATTGTATATTAACTTTATAATTTTTTTGTATACACACATTCCAGTCTGCTATATGATATATTATTTACCATGTGTTTCCTGCAATGAACGTGTTTGCATGTATATGCCTTACTTGTGTTTAATGCAAACATTTTCCTGATATTTTCTTAAATGAGTCTGAAAACAGATAAGAGTAATTTCATTTGTAGAATCTTAAGGCAGAAAGTAAAAACCTTGTTTTGGTAGAGTATAAATAAGGTATAAATATGCTCGGGCATATCTCAAAATATGCGCTGATAAGAAACACCCACTGCATCAAGCGCTTTTTAGTGAAAAAGGCGACAGACTGAAGAGGGGGAAATCGTGCCTAGGTCGGGCAGAAGATGTCATTAGGCAAATATGCAGCCTAACCGACCTCATACCTGAGTGCAGAATGGATACCTGTGCCTCAGTTGCGTTTATTTGTACATTTTCCTGTATTGTCACACTCAACAGGCGATGTGGAGGAAGAGATCCTGTTGCTTTTTAATGCAGAGGTCAACGCTCTCATCGGTGGTGAAAATTCTTGTGTTCAGACGAAGCAGATGCAATAATCTATACAGACGATCCGTTATACGCCAAAGAAGAAGCGCATGGGCATTTACAGCACGCTCAGCAGGCAGAACAGTCAAAGAAGCCAACGGCGCCTTCTCCATGACAACCAGCAGCATGACGATGGAGGTGATGGCAGTGACACAAGCGCTTGCCTGGCTTGAAAACACAAAAATACACCCGCGTGTGTATACTCAGTGATTCAATGAGTATGATCCGGAGGGTTCAGGCAGGTTCAGTGCGAAGACAATGGCTTGAATCATTACAGAAGTCCACTGTTCGTGGAGTCACCTTTTTTTTGTTCCGGTCAGAACACAACGCAGGCGTCGATGGAAATGAAAAGCTGACAGGTTGGCTGGATCCGCTATCACTACCGACGGTCAGCACTATGGATCATGCTGATATTATCAATGCCCTCAGAGAAATGGGAAGAATAGAGGACTTTGGTGGCAGTGAATCCACATCACTCGCCAGAATGGCAGACTTGGGAATTAAGATCGGCCAGCAAAAAACGAGACGCACACCAGCTACGCCAGAAGACTTCTTTAATCAACATAGAACTGGTACTATTAGCCATCGGACGTTGGGTTCATACTGAGGGGAGGATCTGAGCACCTATGGACATGTCCGGAGTGCAATGAGGATAACCCAATGAGTCTAACTAACTAGGAGAAATATCCTAACTAAACTGAAACTAACGAAATAAGTAATATTCATTACCATTGTGTGTGAAAAATATCACTTCTTATATATAGTGAACATATAAGGCAGTGTGATTGCTTGTCTGGGCCAGCAACTTGGCCTGGGCTAGTAGACATGTTTAGTCACATGGATATTCTGTGAACAGGCTTCCAGTTAGTCTTTAGAATTCTAGTTTATCTCCTTTTTCTAATTATGAACCAAGACAAGAATCCTGTCAAGAAATCACAGCAGCAGACAGCTAAAGATTAAACCAGAGAGAAAAAGCACTAGTAATTCTTAGGTCTTCAGTACCACTCAGCCCGCTGTATGTTTACATAAACAGGCTTTGCGAAACACTTTGTTCCCTATGTGTAACTGTTTAACTAAATCACGTTGTTCATAATGTTACTGCACTGACATTCTTGTTCCATGTTTTTTTTAAATTTCAGTTGTTATAATATGAATTTCTGTAGGTAACAGATTTTGAAATCAGTACTGGGGATTCTTCTTTATGTTCACCATCTGAAAACTCCAGCAGAAAGTTCTGGTTGTTCGTCCACTTCTGGACTTTAGTCTTGTTCCAGAACTTGAGTTTTGCATGCACATCTGTTATACAGATCTAGCTTATCTGCATGCCACTATTGGTTCCTCACCTCTTAGGTAGATGCTCTCCAACTTGAAAGATTTGATTTGATTCAAGAACCAACATCACAGCACTCAGGGCATTCCCTTAAGCACTCCGCCCCCACCTTCAGCAGCCAGCGAAGAGTTCTGCTACTAATGGTGCCAGTAGCATTCTGATTAAACGTCCATCTTGCCTTTCCTCTGAGCTTGGAGCATCTGCCAGAACCTTTCGTCACTCCCCACTGCATCAATCTCACCAGACTGTGGTGATCCATCTGCTCCGCTAAACTGTACACGCTCTCCCACAAGGCACTGACCGCGCCTGCCTTATCATGTATCAGTATTCCACCAAGTTGTACAGAGCCAGCCAGTCTGTCCGCCTGTTCATTTCCTACACTGGCGCAACCCGGTGAAAAAATCCAGACAATACTCCTCACCCGTGTCCTCCGCAGCGAAGCATGCCACTCTGCACGAAGCATACCTGTTCTGATATTCCTCAGCATGCTTTCTAAATCAGTTACAATCATGATGTGTGTGTGAGTCGTGTTCTCTAGGCAGCGGAAAGCTGCAGTGACTGCCTCCACCTCCATTCTTAAGCTGGATGTTGTATCATATGCTAGGCTCTCCTGCACCAAACGTGGACCATTAACTTTTGCTAAGAAGCCCCAAGCACTTCTTTTGCCTCTTGACACTGAACCATCTGTGTAAATGATCAAATCCTCTGAGCGATCATTTCCAACTTGAAAGGAAGCATCCTTAATTAGTTCGCTTTTAAAACATGCTTGTTTGTTGGTGGGGGGGGGGGGGGGGTGAGTCTACCCCTTCCCCCCTCCCCCTCCCTCGGGGCCCTGGCACCCACATGGGAAAAACATGGATTGAAAGAGTTTAAATGTGTGTAATGGAATAGAAATGTATTCTATTATCCACTTCAACATCTTAGCCCGAAGGTCTGACACATTTATTCTCTGCTCTCCAATGCAGCAGCCATGTCAGCGTCTCCATGCTCAGCATACCCGATAGGAGTTGACTGGCATATTGTGTTGTCTTTCTTTGCCCTTGCACCCTGTTTCTGCATGCATGTCCTGTTTCTGAAAGCGGCTTTCCTTGCAGTACCGGACGAGGGCTGGACGGCGTAGTTCGGTTTAGTGGGAGTTCTCTCCCTTGGCCGCACTGGAAACAGTGAGCGGAAAAGTCACGAATCAAAGAAGACAGTGAGGTCGATATCAGGGCTGCCAATGCTTGGTTGTGTCCCCCAGATCTGGGGCTTTTTTCTGACGTTGCGGGGAAATCTAGGTTTTTTTTTTTCGTTTTTGTTTCTGTATGCTTTAATGACCGATAAATTTGCGTGGTTAGGGGTAACGTTAGGGTTAAGGGTAGGGTTAGGGGTAGAGTTAGGGGTAGGGTTAGGTTTAGCGTTAGATGTGACAATTTTGACGCAGGAGTTCCCTATAATCGCGCACAGTCACATACACACCCAAACAGTCGACAGACTGTGGATGCTATGGACAATTCGCCACCCGAATGATGACTACGCAACCCTTCACGCAACCGTATGATGACTACGCAATCCTACACGCAACGGTATGATGACAACGCCACCCTACACGCAAGCGTACGCAACCCTACACGCAACCGTATGATGATAGGTAAGTATGTAATTTGTTTCGTGGACTTTTCCGCTCACTGTTTCTAGTGCGGCCAAGGGAGAGAACTCCCAATAAACCGAACTACGCCGTCCAGCCCTCATCCGGTACTGCAAGGAGAGCCCTGAAAGCTTGTCCTCATTGAATACCCATTTCAAACATACAGGTCATTGTCTCTAACTGGTAACTCCTTTGTCTCAAAGTCTCTAAAACACAAGGCATTCATTTTGTCTGCCCTGTGGATGCTTCTTCCTCCACAAACCACTGCAGACAAAGCAAGTCCATCGGCTAAGGCTACAGTCATATCATTGTCACTAATGTATTCTGTACAACTTTATAATGTATTAATAGCACATTTTACAATGTCTCCAGTATTTCAGTTATCATAGAACAGTACAAACAGTGAACATAAATTATACCAGAAATGTGTTATATTTAACTGAAATAAATTGCTGAAGAACCCCTGAATATACATGTATTGATTGGCACTCATATAGAGGCAAGAAGAAGAGACAGGAGGACATACAAAGACAACATAAAAATCAAAAGCTGTAGCTACAATAAATTAGGGATACAAACCTAAACCTCCAAATGATGAATCACCTTGATGCAGGAACATTTTTATTTCTTTACTTCTTGTGTTGTGTACACCGAACCGACTGATATTTTAGAATGAAATTTTACGTGAACCAGTAGAATATTTTACCATTGTGCCATTGCTTGATTTTGGTACCGCTATCAAAATCAATGCAAGACGAATCATCTGCAACTGAGATTTAGCCTGGCATTATGAAGTGTGTTCGCAGCGCCTATGCCACAAACGCTGACATATGACATTTATGTTCATGGGCATGACACTTTAAAAAAGTACCATTTTCATATAGGTCTATCAGACATCTGAGTTGTGTTAAAAATGGACATCACATTACTCAGGACATTCCTATACACACTACATCCTCATCTTCAGCAGCCATAAGAGAGTTCCAATCTTAGTGATATTGGTAGCTGTTTGTTTATATGTCCGCCTTGCCTTTCTCCAGAGTGCTGTACCAGTCTCTCTGCTTTATAATGATCTCTGCACACTTGCACACTTTTAACATCTGTGGACAGGATTAATATCTGATTAATGAAAAAAATCACCATTGGTTACGGAAATTTCTGTTAACCTCCCGTCCAATTGCTTCTTTCCTCTATATCTACGAGTGCTAATCAGTAGATGTCGATTTGTCTGACAACATTTAACATGGGCTGTGAGTCCTGACACTTAATAAACAAGCAGAACAATACCTTGAGGCCTTGGAAATGTGGTCTTACAGAAGAATTCCTCCGACAGCTAAAAATAGCAACACGGATGTTTTGAAATTGTTGAAGCCTCAAAGACAGCTTATCACAAACATCAGGGGCAGTCGTAATGTTTTGGTCAAATTATGAGAAGGAAACCGGAATATGTTGTGACCACTGAAGACATCTGTGGAAAAAGAGACAGAGGAAGACAACATGAGAAGATTCTTGAGAGCTTTTTGTCATGGCACGGAGGGATATCAACATTTGAACTGATATATGCTGTTGAAAATTGCAGATTTTGAGTGCCCACATCAGTCAGCAAGGCACTTGATGATGATGAGTGACTGTTTATCTTTGTAGAAGACTATGATTTCTTAGACATGCATTGTTATATTGACTTGATTCACCATTTTATTATTTATCATTGTCTATAGTTCGAGGATGCCACCCGGGAAAGATTGTGCAGATGACAGAATCAGAGGTCAGAGGACTTTGTCTCAAGTCAAGAGAAATCTTCTTAAGTCAGCCAATTCTTCTGGAGTTGGAAGCTCCACTTAAAATATGCGGTAGGCGGTTGTGAATCTTGTTGTAAGGCAGGGCTATTCAACTGGTGGCCCACCGGCCATATCTGGCCCACCAAGGCTTAGCAAGTGGCTCGTGGATCACTGCCAGAGGGATTGTTTTAGTGATCTTTCTGTGCTGGGGCTCGGGCCTCTGGCCCCTGATGATCTCAATTGTCTAGATTGTAGTCCTGGAGTACGCTCAGTTGAATAGCCCTGTTGTAATGAATGTTCACTGGATGCACATGGAGAGACATTACGTTGCATATTTAACTTAGAACTATTGGATCTTCAATTTTACAATGAAACAGTATCACCGTGTGAAGTTAATGGTTTCTTTTCAGGCAGAAATTGGTTCATGAACACATTTTTTGTTTTGTTTTTGTTTAGAGTTTCTGGCTTTTTGCTGCATGCCTCTTTATGTTATACTTTTAATAGGTGGCTTGCACACTGCCAGGAGAAACTGAGGCCCAAGGGGTACACTCCTGTCTTCTTCTTCTGCCTTACTAGCTCCCAGTGGAGCATGTAAGACCTCAACCAACTCATGCCGAGTCGTTCTATCCTTTGCTATAGCATGCAGCTCTCCCCATGTCCTCCCCATCTTTCTAACTTCATTCTCCAGCTCCCTTTTCCTTGTGTTTTTTGGCCTTTTTTTATTCCTCTGCCCCTGTGGGTTCCAGTGCAAAGATATTCTAGTTATATTGTTATCTGGTTTTCTCAATGTGTGTCATATCCACCGCCAGCGTCTTTTCTTCACCTCTTGGTCCACTGGAGCTTGTTTAGTTCTCTCCTAAAGCTCTACATTAGTTATTCTATGATACCATTTAATTCCCTCTATTCTGCGCAGGCACCAGTTAATGAATGTTTGCAGTTTATTAGTAATTGCCTTAGTTGTTCTCCATGTTTCCGCCCCATACAAAAGTACTGATTTGACATTAGAATTAAACATTTTAAGTTTAGTATTTCTTTTAATTTATTTTGACCTCCACAAATTCATTAGGAAAAAGCTCTTTTGCCTACCTTTATTGACTTTAAAAAAAAAAGAAAATATAGCACAAGATGTAACAACTTGACCTGACCTGTTTGAAGGCCTATGCTCCTTTAGGAGATACAGGACAGAAGAAGACAGGCTTTGTAAATTGCAGCAATCATATGACACTCAAAAATGACTACAATGGCTGACTGCACTGTAAAATAACAAAACAATGTCACATAGCATTGTGATGAGTCAGTACAGCTGCTTTTAAAAACTGGTAGAATCAAAATATCAGTGTTGACTCGGTAGTTGGCGTCCATCATTTGTTATGTTGTTGTTCTCATGAGGTTGTTGTTTTTTCTAAAACTGAAAGACTGATAAAACCATGGCCAGAGGTTAGCCTTATTTAGTTATAATATTATTGGTAGAAAAACAATAATCTATGTTTCTTAGGACACACTTGCCATGATTCCTCATCATCTTGTGCTTTTGTCATGACTGTAAACATGGGCAGTCGTGGTACATAATTCATCATCATCATGTGCCATGCCTGTAACCATGGTCAGTTGTGGTACATCATTCATCATCATCATGTGCCATTGCCATGCCTGTAACCATGGGCAGTCATGCTACATCATTCATCATCATGTCCTGTAACCATGTGCAGTCATGCTACATCCTTCATCATCATCATGTCCTGTAACCATGGGCAGTCATGCTACATCATTCATCATCATGTCCTGTAACCATGGGCAGTCATGCTACATCCTTCATCATCATCATGTGCCTGTAACCATGGGCAGTCATGCTACATCCTTCATCATCATGTGCCTGTAACCATGGGCAGTCATGCTACATCATTCATCATCATGTGCCTGTAACCATGGGCAGTCATGCTACAATTCATCATCATCATGTGCCTGTAACCATGGGCAGTCATGCTACATCCTTCATCATCATGTCCTGTAACCATGGGCAGTCATGCTACATCATTCATCATCATGTGCCTGTAACCGTGGGCAGTCATGCTACATCCTTCATCATTATTATGTGCCTGTAACCATGGGCAGTCATGCTACATCCTTCATCATTATTATGTGCCTGTAACCATGGGTAGTCATAGTACATAATTCATCATCATCATGTGCCAATACCTGTGACAGTGGACACACATGGTAATGCTTTATCATCATCCTACCTGCGATTGTTTTAAACAGCTTTCCTTATTAACAGGTGATATCCACGGACAGTACACAGACTTGCTACGACTGTTTGAGTATGGTGGATTCCCTCCGGAGTCCAATTACTTGTTCCTTGGTGACTATGTGGATAGGGGCAAACAGTCCTTGGAGACTATCTGTCTTTTGTTGGCATACAAAATCAAATATCCAGAAAATTTCTTTCTTCTGCGGGGTAACCATGAGTGTGCAAGCATCAACAGAATTTATGGTTTCTATGATGAATGTAAGTTGTCTTTTTTTTTTTCTTTTTTTAAATTTAAATATTATTTTTGAACACTCACTTCTTTTACAACAATTGCATTGTTTAACATCCCTGTGGGAATTCTGGTGCTCCTTGGGGAAAGGGCATGGGGGCATCCACTACTAGACTTTAGTCTTGTTTCAGAACCTGAGTTTTATGTGGACATACATTTCACCATTTCACATATCTGGCTTATTTGTATACATTTTGTTGGTTCCTTGCCGCTTGAGGTAGATGCACTTAGGAGGAAGCCCCCAGCTAGTAAACTCTTGAATTGCAACATGTTTGTTGGGGAGGCAGACGCACTTTGAAGGAAGCCCCCAGTTAGTCAACTCTTAAATTGCAGCATGTTTGTCGGGGAGGCAGACGCACTTTGAAGGAAGCCCCCAGCTAGCCAACTCTCACAGTACAACATGTTTGTTGGGGAGACAGACGTACTTTGAAGGAAGCCCCCAGCTAGTCAACTCTTACATTACAACATGTTTGTTAGGGAGGCAGTGGATCTTTTCTTGTTCTCCTGACAATGGGGTCCCGGAACCCACGTGGGGATAAAGGCGGACTAATTAGGGTTGTTTCCTTTGAAGTCGGAGTGCATCTGCCTGACAGGTGAGCAGCCACAGTCTGCATACAAACAAGACAGATCTCTGGACTGGATGTGCACACAAAATGCAAGTTCTAGAACAAGACTAAAGTCTAGAAGTGTACGGAAAATCAGAAATTTCTGCCAGAGTTTATAAATGGTGAATGTGAAGAAAAGTATTGTTGAAACAAAGATGGCTTAAATCCACTTCTATGATGATCTTGATTGGTGACGATAGTTCACACACATCTTCTAATGTTTTTCTTTGACATCTTTGTTTTATATTACTACATACTCTGACACAGAGAGCCACGAGACACATTGAAGAAATAACCCGAGCAAGGAGAAGTCCATTCAGAAGTGGAGCAGTGGAATTAAGAACAGACCTAAGAGAAACTGAAGCTCAACTTACACAGTGCATTAGAAAAAGCACATAGAAGATCTGTACATATCCTTTTCTCTTGCCCAGCCTGAACACTATGTCTTCTTTTTTCTCCCAAAATGGGGCTCCGGAACCATACATACTATTGTGATAGTTTCTGTTAGTTTTAGTGGTTGTGGGAAATGGGGGGGGGGGGGGGGAGGGGCGGCTTGGAAGTGTGGTGTAAGACATAACAGGGATATTGGACAGAAAGAGGAGACATATCTTTGTATCTGTTACCCGGGGGTCTCAGTGACGAAGTGGTCAAGCCGTTTGCCTTGCGCTCTGAAGGTTGTGGTTTTTTGTTTGTTGACAGCTGTGCCTTTCAGATTGCAATTTTTACGGAGATACCTGGGGATTGTCGTGGAGATCATGCTCTATGCGACGTTCTCGGCAGAGGACTAGCCATTCTGCGGAAAGAGACTGAGCCATATGAGATAAGACCCGGTGCAATAAAGTTGATCCTCGACTTTAACCTTTAATCTATTGCATGTTTACATGTTGATGAAAATCTCTGAAACAACATAAGCTGGGCTGACATTAAGATATTTAATGATTGTTGAAGCTGATTATCTACCTTTTATCTCATTGAATCAGGCAAGCGAAGATATAATGTGAGGTTGTGGAAAACCTTCACAGACTGTTTCAACTGTTTACCAGTCGCAGCTATCATTGATGAGAAGATCTTTTGTTGTCATGGAGGTAGGATCCAGAAATGTATATAATTGATAATATAAATGTATGTTGAATATTTAGAATAAAACTGGCGCAGCGAAATGAATCTTCTTGACCTTTAAACTTGTAATATTTCTTCTTTTTTTTTTTTTTTTTTTTTTTTTTTTTGCAGAAATATTAATTGTTTATAGTAAACTTAATGACATCTATACATCATAGATATTATGTCTTGTTAAAAGGAGCACATGTTAAAATTGGTGAAAAAATACATCTTCAGAGACCTTCACAGTCTCTGTCTAGATCAGGGAGCTAGACAGATGAATGTAATTAGCTAAATTAAGTAATATGCTTAGAGCTTAATGCTTTTTGTTACGCCTAAACACACTAAGTAGAGTGGAGAGTGGAGATGTGTATGACAAAAAAGAATAATGGATAAATTACCTACAAATTCTAGGTTGGCTACTGTTAAAGCCAAATAGGTTTGCCTATTTTTTTACATGAACATCCTTTTCTGTAGATCAAATCTAAACCAAGAAAAATGTAGTGCATTGGCGGACTAGATTTAACATCACTAGACCAGGTTAAAGAGGCAAGTATGCTTAAATCAGAAAAACTAAGCAGAATAAATAGGGCCATTGAAAGGGGTTTATATAGCCATACCTTCAAATAAAAAAAAAAGCCTTGTAGAACTTTTATCAAGAATGTCCTAGACAACAATGTGTTTCTTGCAGCTGAGATGTGTCAGTCATTATGAGGAAGTCATACAGTCCCATGTAGGGCTTGTACAGCTGTGTTTATGTGAGAACTGGATAATAAGAAAATATGAGATATATCTTTCCGCAACAGTGAAAAGTTAGATACTGAGAGTGACCATTTTTTATCCCTTACAAATTGAAAAATTGCTACAACTAGTAAGACTTATGTTAAATACGCTGACATGAGTTAGAGTGATAAGTACCTTTCTGTCTCATCCAAATGGTACCTAATGGAAGGGTGTTTTCTTAATATCCTACCCCAAACAGGGAAAGTCCACAGGTCCTGGGACAGTAATATTTCAGGGGGTGGTAGATAGGCTGCATTCAGTCTAGGGACCAAGGCTGCACGTGCAGTCGTGGGACCTAGGCTGCACTCTCTCGTGGGATGTAGGTGGGTTGGGGTTAGGCCCAGTTCTAGATGTTTAGGGGTTTTTAAACGCATAAGAAAGCCAAGAAACCCAGTTTTACCACCCTCTAAAATGTTGGACTCTCCTGTGAAGAAGAAGAAGAAGAGCATATTATGAAAGAACCAATGCTAGCAAACACTGACGCTATCTAAGGTTGATAATTCACATGAGATGGCAAATACTGTTATTTTATGTTTATTGGCAGGCCACATGATTATACCCAGTGTCAGTTGGTTTACATTTTTTATTTCTGTCAACAGGTTTGTCTCCAGATTTGCAATCAATGGAACAGATTCGACGTATCATGAGACCAACAGATGTACCAGATACAGGTATGCAGTGTGCAAGACAAGAAAATTTATAATTTTAGATTGCTGGTACTGACAACCACAAATTGTGTACAATATGGCCGGGATCCGGTTTATGTGTATGCTGGTCAAATACATTATTTAACAACTGTAGCCAGCTTATCCTGCCCTACTACTTCTATCATTGACAAACTGCATTTCTGGTTAGCAGACTGACACACTTTGTCTTGTCACACAGCTTGTTGCTCCTTTTGTCTTGTTAAACTGTTGTCTTTGTTCACCCTTGTCACACAGCTGTTGCTCTTTTGTCTTGTCACACAGCTGTTGCCTCTTTTGTCTTGTCACACAGCTGTTGCCTCTTTTGTCTTGTCACACAGCTGTTGCCTCTTTTGCCCAAGTCCATTGATACCTGTCATCAGATAATTAAAAAATGTCCTAGCTGGCACATCAAATAACATGATGGAAACTGTTGCAGGTCTGCTGTGTGACTTGCTGTGGTCAGATCCTGACAAGGATGTTCAAGGTTGGGGTGAGAATGACAGAGGAGTCTCCTTCACATTTGGGGCTGATGTAGTCAGCAAGTTCTTAAACAGACACGACCTGGACTTAATTTGCAGAGCTCATCAGGTACAAAAACAGTTTATTGTGTGTACTTACTTTTTTCTTCTGTATTCCATTAAAAAGGTCACAAGAAGCATTATGTTGTAGTTTACAGTTAGGCTGCTATATCTGCACCTTTTGACCCCACTCATCTGATTTCAGCAAATTCCTAATGAATCGTCTTTTTTGACATACTTATTGGGGGGGGGGGGGGGGGGGGGCATGGGTCTCTGTTCTTCCTACCTCCTCCCTACATATTGTGGTTCCTAAACCCACAAAGGGATTATGGGCTTGTGGTTAGTCTGATACTGTGTAAATTGATCTCAGTAATCTTGATGACTATATATTTACTCAATATAAACCCAGTGATAAAGGTCTAACATTAGTGAAAGATTCACTGTTTTGTTTAGCAACATCTCAGCTTTGAATGGGTTGTATTTTTTTCATCATGTAAGGGACTGTGGTAGACTAGTAAACTTTTTTTGGATTCCGTTTGAACTAAGGAGCTGTTGTAATAAAAGGAATTTATTTTGAGTTAAGCAGCTGAATGTGAGGTCATACATGGTTCTTGGCCTAAGACTGATAGAATATGAGATCATACATCGTTCTGGGCCCAAGACTGATAGAATATGGGGTCATACATCATTCTGGGTCCAAGACTGATAGAATATGTCATACATCATTCTGGGCCTAAGACTGATAGAATATGAGGTCATACATCGTTCTGGGCCTAAGACTGATAGAATATGAGGTCATACATCGTTCTAAGCCTAAGACTGATAGAATATGTGGTCATACATCATTCTGGGCCTAAGACTGATAGAATATGAGATCATACATCGTTCTGGGCCTAAGACTGATAGAATATGTGGTCATACATCATTCTGGGCCTAAGACTGATAGAATATGAGATCATACATCGTTCTGGGCCTAAGACTGATAAAATATGTGGTCATACATCATTCTGGGCCTAAGACTGATAGAATATGAGATCATACATCGTTCTGGGCCTAAGACTGATAGAATATGTGGTCATACATCATTCTGGGCCTAAGACTGATAGAATATGTGGTCATACATCATTCTGGGCCTAAGACTGATAGAATATGTGGTCATACATCATTCTGGGCCTAAGACTGATAGAATATGTGGTCATACATCATTCTGGGCCTAAGACTGATAGAATATGTGGTCATACATCATTCTGGGCCTAAGACTGATAGAATATGTGGTCATACATCATTCTGGGCCTAAGACTGATAGAATATGTGGTCATACATCATTCTGGGCCTAAGACTGATAGAATATGTGGTCATACATCATTCTGGGCCTAAGACTGATAGAATATGTGGTCATACATCATTCTGGGCCTAAGACTGATAGAATATGTGGTCATACATCATTCTGGGCCTAAGACTGATAGAATATGTGGTCATACATCATTCTGGGCCTAAGACTGAAAGAATATGTGGTCATACATCATTCTGGGCCTAAGACTGATAGAATATGTGGTCATACATCGTTCTGGGCCTAAGACTGATAGAATATGTGGTCATACATCATTCTGGGCCTAAGACTGAAAGAATATGTGGTCATACATCATTCTGGGCCTAAGACTGATAGAATATGTGGTCATACATCGTTCTGGGCCTAAGACTGATAGAATATGTGGTCATACATCATTCTGGGCCTAAGACTGATAGAATATGTGGTCATACATCATTCTGGGCCTAAGACTGATAGAATATGTGGTCATACATCATTCTGGGCCTAAGACTGAAAGAATATGTGGTCATACATCGTTCTGGGCCTAAGACTGAAAGAATATGTGGTCATACATCGTTCTGGGCCTAAGACTGATAGAATATGTGGTCATACATCATTCTGGGCCTAAGACTGATAGAATATGTGGTCATACATCGTTCTGGGCCTAAGACTGATAGAATATGTGGTCATACATCATTCTGGGCCTAAGACTGATAGAATATGTGGTCATACATCATTCTGGGCCTAAGACTGATAGAATATGTCATACATCATTCTGGGCCTAAGACTGATAGAATATGTGGTCATACATCATTCTGGGCCTAAGACTGATAGAATATGTCATACATCATTCTGGGCCTAAGACTGATAGAATATGTGGTCATACATCATTCTGGGCCTAAGACTGATAGAATATGTGGTCATACATCATTCTGGGCCTAAGACTGATAGAATATGAAGTCAAACATGGTTCTTGGTTTATGACTGGTAGAACATGAAGTACGTGGTACTTGCTTAAATATGAGGCCTAACATTGTTTTTGGCCTAAAATTGATAGAATATGTGGTCATATGTGGTTCTCGGCCTAAAACTGATAAAATATTTAGTCATACATGGTTCTAGGCCTAAGACTGAACGAAGATGAGGTCATACATGGTTCATGGCCTATGATTTAAAGAATGTAAAGGCGTACATGGTTCTTGCTTTAAGACTGATAGAATATGAGGTCATAACTTCATACATGGTAGAATGGGTAGTTTTACATGGTTTCTGGCCTAAGACTGGAAGAAAATAGAGCATGCATGGTTTTCAACCTCAGGCTGAATAAATGTTTGCTAATACGTTATTCTCAGCCTAATGCTGAATGAACAAATTATAGCAGTTATGTTTTTGGTAAACATACATGTCCATCTTTGCTAATGATGTCCAGCTTGTCCACTGTTTTGCAAGCCTTAATGTTCAGCCTATTTGAGGATATTGGTGGTATACATGTGTGCACAATTGTTTGAACCTGTAACTGAGTAATTTCCAAATCTGCCGCTATACCACTGTACCTAATTTTCAGTACTTTGTGTATTATGTGGAATAAATGTGTACAATCTAAACAATAACCAATCAGCCGTCAAACCTCAGGGTAAGCCCTTGCAAATGTCTGCCCCATGTGTTTGAATTGACTTTGTGTGGTTTAATGTGAAACAGTTCTGCAAATTCACAATGAAACGAGCGGCTGATAAACCAAGCACTTCAACAGGAAAGTGAAGTAGGTCTAGGCTTTTCACAGTCCAACAGGTGATCGATACTTTGGTTGATTCAGACTCTGAGGAATAAGAATTTCATCAAGAATATGTTTCAGTGGCGCAGACAGTGAGAGCTTGAGTGATGAGGAAAATCTTGAACCTTACTTATAGGTTCAGAGCTAGATCGATAGTAAGAATGGGGGACATCTAGGTGGTGAAAAAGAAATTTTTTATCACCAAATACAGATATGAATTTCAGTGAGGATGGAAAAGGCCCAGTGAACATTCCTAGATCTATCACTGAGGGGAGTGAACCGATTGACTTTTTAATCCTTGCTTTTGGATGATACTTTTGGATGACATCAGCCCACTGCTATTCATAATAGGAACCCTACCCTCAATGGGTGACCCCAGACAATCCTTTTCAAGAGATTCTCCCTTGTACAATGTCTAATCATATCTGTGCTGTCTGCATGGAAAAGCACTCCAGGTCCAACAAGCAAAATCCTAGAGTGTCTTACAAGGACAATCCATGCAAGAAGGTGAAGAGAACGTTTGGTATTCACTTAGCAAGAAGTACCTGTGTGTGAAACAAGGCTCATCCTGTTGGGTAGGTTGGCTCACAAAGGTGGAATACTGGTGCTAAATGAAAAACTTATTTTCTACAATGTCTCCAAGTTCCATTTTATTATAACCACTTGTTTGCGTGTACTTAACATTTTTCTATATCATGTGGGTTTTCTCTTGAATGCTCAGGAGCCCAGGAATAGGGGACAGTTAGGGTCTGGTAGAGTTCAACACCAGACCTGAGAAAATCAAAATAACAATAATTGTTACAACTAATAAACAAGGAGTCAAACCCGTTGCTTCTCAGGGTCATGGGCTCGTTTTGCAGAGTTCAAGAGTAGAATTTTTATGGAGAACCCTGGGGATTATCACTGGAGCTGCAAAGTTTGTGCTTTGTGTGGCATACTTGTCAAGCAGCTAGCCACTCTACAGAGATTGATGATCAGTATGGGATAAAACTTCAAGCAGTGAAATCTAACCTCATGACTTAAACTAAACAAATCAGTAACTGAATTGTGACTGTGTACTGTATTTGTAGGTTGTTGAGGATGGCTATGAGTTTTTTGCCAAACGTCAGCTAGTGACTCTGTTTTCTGCACCCAACTACTGTGGGGAGTTTGACAATGCTGGAGGGATGATGTCTGTAGATGAGAACCTTATGTGTTCATTTCAGGTTTGTGGCTTTTTATTTTATATTGTCATCAAACTAAGTGTATTGTACTGATATGACACTTATGTATCTTGCTGCATGTAGTATCTTCACATTCATATTTTCGTATCTAAACCTTTGACTGGTAGTAAATTTATGGCTTAGTCTATTTGTACTCATTCTGCTGTCTTAATGGTGAGTGACAACGCCAGTAACCAAACTATGTGTGTAAAAAAATAAACCCAAGCAAATGTTTAATGTTGATTTAAGAATGAACATCACAACACTCTGGACACTCCCATGAGCACTCAAGTCTCCATCTTCAGCATCAGGCAAAGAGTTCCAGTTCCGATAGCACCAGTAACTGTCCGATTGTACATCCGCCTTGCCTTTCCCTGAAATGTGGAGCCACGGCCAGATCCCCAGGTCACTCCCCTTAGCGCCATTCTCCTCAGGCTGTAATGACCCGTCTGTGTCTCCTCAACAGAAACAAGAAATAGTAAAAGTCAGCTTCCCAGTAAAACACAATAAGTTTCTACCATGTGATCTCCATAATTCATTCTGCATTCAGAATTAAAACAGTCATAACTCTTCTTCCCTTTATTCCACATTGACAAGGTGCAAAATAAAGCCATGTGCATTATTCTGGGGTGCACATGAGACACTTCTTGCATAGCAGTGAGGTATCTTCTTGACTTTCCAAAAGTGCACCATAGGATGAAAATCTAGAGGACGCGTGCATACCTGAAGATAAGTTTGGATTTGAAGCACAATGTTCTCTTCAGGAAAAAGGGCAACAGGCTAAAAAGGGGCAAATCATGGCTCGGTAGGGCAAAGGACGATATACAGGTCTGCAGTCTTACAGACATCAATCTTGGCGAAGATACCTGTGCCCCAGGTGCTCAACCACACCTTTTCCTGTGTTGTCACGCTTGACAGGAGCTGTTGGGAGCAGAATCCAGTTGCTGTCATTGCAGAGGTCCATGCGCTTGCATGTGAAAACTCAGATGAGGCGGATGTACTGATCTACACAGATAGGTCTGTTGTATACGGACAAAAAAGTGCATGGGCATTTACTGCTTTTCTGTATGACTACTAGCAGCATGAGGTTGATGTTGGCAACACAAGCTTTCATGTAGCTAGCATCGCAGGGCTATTCTATTCTCTCACATGTGTGTGCTGAGTGATTTCATGAGCATGATCCAGGGGATCGAGGCAGGTTTTGTGGATTGAGTCATTGCAAAACTCCACTGTGTGTGGTGTTACCTTCATCTTTGTCCCAAGGCATGCAGGTGTTGTTGGCAATCAAAGAGCCGACAGATTAGCCGGCTCTGCCTTAGTTGCAGAGGGCCAGCCCATGAATCATGCAGACATTGTTAATGCCATTAGAGAGGTAGGGTGATCAGAGAGTTTTGGGAGCAGCACATCCACATCTTTGATAAGAGTGTAAGAATTGGGAGTAAAGATTGGCACAGCCAGGCACGAGAAGAACACTTGACACATGAGAAGTCCTGTCAACCAGCATAGGACTGGTACTATCAACCACTGGACGCTAATGTATATGTATGGGGGAAACTGAGCACCTATGGACATGTCTGGAGTGCCTTGAAATCATAACTCATAACTCAATGAAGCAGTAGCCTTCAGCCACCTCCTTTCAAGAAGCCTCTGTTGGTCATTGTGAAAATTAATATAGTATGACTAGATTTGACTTCTTTATCATATTCTAACCAGCCAAGATGATATTTTGCTGATCCTAACTTTGCATCAGTAAATGAGTGCATACGCTTTTGTAAAATGTCGGCTTCTGACATGTACTTGTAAGCAAGCAGAGGACCCTTTTCATGGCTTTGGTGCTTCAGGCATATGGTGCTAAATCTGTATTTTAAAGACCAATGGGCACTTAATGGGGGATGTGGTCAAGATCATGCTGCCGGTGGCCTTTACTTCTAGGTCCCCATGTGGGTTTGGGGGGCCCTGTTGTGGTAGGGGGCGGGGAGAGATAGAGTAGTCCCACTGTCTCCCTTACATGTTGTAACAGTCAACTAATTAAGGATTTCCTTCAATGTCGGAGTGCATCTGCCTGAGAAGCAAGGGACCAATAGTCTGCATACAAAGAAGCCAGATCTGTAAAATAAACGCATGCAAAACTCAAGTTCTGGACCAGGACTAAAGTCCAGAAGTAGACAAACAACAAGCACTTTCTGCTGGTGTTTACAGCCAGTGAATGCGGAGAAAAAAGACTTGATCTAACTGGGATGCCAAAATAGAAAATAAGAAACATACGCTTACACTGCCCAAGTCAGGGTTGAAGCATTACAGGTGCTCCTTCAACATTACACTGAATTTTTGAAAATTGGGTTTTTACAATATGTGTTTTTTAACGATAAATCCTCCATTATTCTCCTGTTTAGATTCTGAAACCATCAGAAAAGAAAGCAAAATACCAGTATGCGGGTCTGAACTCTGGTCGACCGGCAGTGGGAAACAAGGGATCACAGCAGCCAAACAAGCCCAAGAACATTAAGAACTAGTGTCGTAGTTTGGTGCCTTTTATCTAACCTGTAAAATAAACTGTACCGCGTCTAGTGTGGCCAGAGAAAGTAACATGCATCAGACCAAACTAAAATCTCACATATTTAGTCAGTACGTCTTGCTTGCTTTACTTGCTAAGAACAAGATCTATGTTAACAACTACTACTAATCTCCAGACACATCAGATTTGTGTCTTTATGTAAACATGTCAGGTACTTATCTTTGACTAGTTACTTTACCGCTGTCCCTTAGAAAACATGCCTGTAAACTTCATGCTGATGACACATTGAGATGTTTCAGCAAGGTTGACTACTCACATATAGGAGAATGTATAGTTTATTTAAATTCTGATAATAATATTATACTGTATGGTCGGTTCATTTAGTGCACTGGCATTGCTGAAATGTTGTAAGGGAGATGTGGCTTCGTATAACAATTTAATTGGGACAAGGCTTCATTGTTTAATGGAGATGCAGGCTTCATTTAGCAGATGGGACATGCAAGAGATGTAGATTTCATATGTTAATTGTAATGGAGGCACATACTTTGTATGTTTGTTGTAATGGAGGGACATACTTTATATGTTTGATGTAATGGAGGGACACACTTCATAGGCATTTTTGAGAAAAAAGAGGAACATTGCTTCATATGGCACTTATGCAGGAGAAGTTAGCTTGATATAGCATTAGTAAGAGGGTTGGAGACATCATATAGTGACTGTAAGAATGTGAGATTCGCACATGAAAAATCCCAAGAAAATGTTTTCTTGCACTTATATGTTGCCGGATGATTAATTTACAGAAAATAAAGTATAGTTAGTAGTTGGCAGCTTTTAGAGAACTGAATGGATTTTGTGACAAAATGCCTTCAGCAGAATATTAAATCAATAACACTTTAATAAACAGAACGAGCTGGCAGCATAACTGCATATGAATAAAATATCTTTGCCTGCAGTTGAGAACTATTGCTTCCACAAATGTATTTACCCCTTTCTGTCAAAGATTGTTATTATTTCCTGTGCTAGTGTACATGCACTTTAAAGTAACAATCTCAGTGTTTTATTTGATGTAAACGATAATTATGAAACATAACATGAAGTAAAATGGTTCTGCCTTGTAACTAGGCTGCCAGCAAACAGTATGCTACAATGAACAGTGTTCTATAGGCTGTGTAGAAACTGAAAGATAGACCAAACTGTAATTGATAGGCAGAGGGAAAAACATAGTCTCTAGGAACGCCATATATAAAGCAAACAAAAGGGAAACCTTATGCTGTTTTTACCTAACCTTGACACCACAAAGTACAAGAGGACTGAGACAAGATATCATGTGGAACATTAGGAGTTAAAGTAATGCATCCCGAACACCGCAGAGTACAAGAGGACTGAGACAAGATATGCGAATATTAATAGTTAAAGTAATGCATCACGAACACCGCAAAGTACAAGAGGACTGAGACAAGATATGCGAATATTAGGAGTTAAAGTAATGCATCACGAACACCGCAAAGTACAAGAGGACTGAGACAAGATATCATGATGGGTTCTGGATTGTCTTTGTTGAAATGTTGCTGCTGCAGCAGTCTTGGTCACCTCAGTTGCAGTTGCTCCCTAATAAAGAGATAAGTGCTGATTAATAAAGAGATAAGTGCTGATTAATAAAGAGATAAGTGCTGGTATGATCGGTTGCATGCAGCAACACCCCAGGTGTTGGATTAATGCCAAGAGTTTTAAAGGAGATCTCAAGATTGTCCTTGAAATGTTTCTTTTGTTTGCTTTTGGAGTTTAATGCTCACCATGCAGGATTATTATTGTGAGTCGGTGGTTTGACCTTGCATCCTCAGAGCAGGTTGGATTATTTCCGAATATAAATGCTAAATCTGTGGAGCAAAAAAAAGATTAAAACAATCAACAACAACAACAGCATAAAAAAAATAAGTAAGAAGTTGAGAAATGTAGAGAATAGTCAACAATTGTTGTGAGTTGATTGGTACCAAAGAAGTTGACTGGTCAGGAATTGAGTCTGAAAGGACAAGACTTTTAAGTTAGTTTCTCTCATTACTGTTGTTGACTGTCTGAATGATTCATATAGAACTAACTACATTAGGAGGTTATTCCTTTGTTCCTAATGCAATATTTATGTCTGTTAATTCTCTGACTTCTGTATTGCTGTCACTGTCTTTCAACTCTGAATCATTATCAAGTGTTTTATCAGAGCTGTGTAACTGCGTTATGGCCATATGTAAACTAACTTTACATTGTTATATTTTTCATATATTTTGTTACTTTTGTAATGACTTATTGTTAAGCATGTATCATTTGTCTGCTAAAACATGACAATAAGGTGCTGATGGTACTTTTGTCATTTTAGTCATTCTTGGAGTTGTAAATGTATCAATTAGGATGCATTTTGTTGTAAACATAGCACAGTGTTATCCATTCTGGCTACTAGGTACTACTCGAAAGAAACAAGTGTTAACTCTTTTTTAAGTTTTTCCTGTTCTTGAGCAAGATCCTTTTAAAATTTAATTGAAGATTCAAATAAAGGGTCAGCTTTTCTTAATTCAAATTCATAGCCTACAACGATATAAAGGGAATTAACAATTATGACCAGAACACACAAAAATAAAGAGCTTGATAAATGTAATTGGTCGTGAAAGTTTTCATTTGTATTGTACCTAAATACTTGTCATCTACAGTCTACACTTGAATTTATAAAAAGCCCTAAAAATTAGCCATCTTTCGTGAACATTAAGATTTATAGTCTACGCTGCCAGCTGGCTTTTCTTTAATCAACCCTAGAAACTGACCTTCTGTCATTGATGCCTGGATTTATGTCCCTAGAAACTGACCCTCTGTCATTGATGCCTGGATTTATGTCCCTAGAAACTGACCTTCTGTCATTAATGCCTGGATTTATGTCCCTAGAAACTGACCTTCTGTCATTGATGCCTGGATTTATGTCCCTAGAAACTGACCTTCTGTCATTGATGCCTGGATTTATGTTCCCTAAAAACTGACTTTCTGTCATTGATGCCTGGATTTATGTCCCTAGAAACTGACCTTCTTTCATTGATGCTTGGATTTATGTCCCTAAAAACTGACTTTCTGTCATTGATGCCTGGATTTATATCCCTAGAAACTGACCTTCTCTCATTGATGCTTGGATTTATGTCCCTTGAAACTGGCCTTCTGTAATTGATGATTGGATTTATGTCCCTAGAAACTGGCCTTCTGTCATTGATGCTTGGATTTATGTCCCTAGAAACTAGCCTTCTGTCATTAATGCTTGGATTCATGTCACTAAATACTGGCCTTCTGACATTGATGCTGGGATTCATGTCACTAAAAACTGACATCCTGTCATTGTTGCATGGATCAACACTAAATACTGTCATAGACTCGGGAATTTAGGCCAGCTCTAAAAACTAGTCTTCTGGCATAGACTTCCATCATAAAAGCAAGCATCTATACAAGCTCTAACCACTGGCAGGGTCTGTTACATCATAAAAGCAAGCATCTATACAAGCTCTAACCACTGGCAGGGTCTGTTACATCATAAAAGCAAGCATCTATACAAGCTCTAACCACTGGCAGGGTCTGTTACATCATAAAAGCAAGCATCTATACAAGCTCTAACCACTGACAGGGTCTGTTACATCATAAAAGGTTGCCTGCTGAACCCATGGTTATGTGTTTAGATTTACCCCAGGCGGAGATATCTCAAGTTTGTTAAGGCTCCCTAGATGATCCATCCATAGATGGGTGTGTTGGATGGGAAGTAAAGTAGTCAGTGTGATCAGCATGTCACCAAATGAGTACCTCTTGGTCTCCAACAACATGGGACTAGTGCCATATACTCAGCATACAAGAGCCCTTGACATAAGCAACTTGTGGTCTTCTGTACTTAAGATGCATGCTGGTGTCAGTCTAGACCAGTGGCTCTCAACCTTCATAATGATGCAACCCTTTAATTCAGTTGCTTCTTGTTGTGGCAACCTCCAAACAATTATTTTTCTTCAGAACTTCAATGAATATGTGTTTTCTGATGGTCTTAGGCCACCCTTGTGAAAGGGTCATGCAACCCCAAAAAAGGTCACGACCGGCAGGCTGAGAACCGCTGGTCTAGACCCCGGCTCCATGCAGAGACTGCAAAATGTCTAAGATTACAAAAAATGTGTTGCTGTTCATTTATCTATCTTTTGTATTTTTTAATGAAAACAAAATGTATCTCTATCTGTGTTTAGTGATTTGTGTGTGTGGAAACTTAAATGTATCTCTTATTATATCTCATCATTGAAGGTGCTGTGTGAGGGCGATGAAGGTGTGGTAACTGTGCATAATTACACATGTCTGCTCCCATATGCTGACACATTTTTTTTAACCCTAGTTAGCTGTTTTTTGCTTCAGTTCCCCTGCACATGCCTAGGGAGGGAACAACCCCTTATGAAACAGTGATGTTGGCATTAATGTGGCCAGCAAAAGAGCCAGATTTTGTAGTTTCTTGTGACAAAATATAAAAAAGTAGGAGAGCACATAATAGAAAGGCTTAGATTCACTGTGGAGGGTTATCACATTAGTGTAGGCCTGAACAAGAGCTGAAGTTTGCATGTTTCTGGAGCGGTTCGGTGATAATGAGAAAACTATTAGTGATTTGTTATTTAAGTTTCAACATATACCAGTGAAAGTTTGAGAACCACTAAAGACACAAATAAATGCCTGAGGAACTTGACGAACATTAAATGAATTAAAGGAAGGCAAAATAAGATAATTGTCCCCATCGCCGATATCAACAGTTATAAGACAAAGAAAATGGTGGCATATTTGGTGTAACATAAGAAGAAATGGATAGATAATCACCAGACAAGTACTGAAATGGGAAACAGATGGACTGATGAAATGAAGGCGCCCAAGACTTGTTGTTGATAGAGGTGCTGGACTAGATTCCATCTGTGACAGTGAAAAGCTTGCCAGGAACAGAACAGAGGAATAGACATGGAA